GGATTGTTGCCCTGTGAGATAACTAGTCCTGTACAAATACACCCAGGAGTCCTGGATGTGGTACTGGAGCACAGAATTATATGAAAATCCTGCTGTTTGGATACTTTTGGGGGGAGTGTTACTGATGTAACCAAACCATTCACACTGGGGGGTGGGGGGATGGGGGTGGGAAGGGGGAATTACAAGTTACCACTGCCAGCTGGTGGCAGAAACATAGCAAACTCTTAATTTTCAGTTTACTTTGCTCTTGTTCTGCCAAACAATGTCAGGTTCAGCTGGTTTTATTAGAAATTTGGTGCTTTGTAGAACAAAGTTACGAGGAGAGAGCTGAGCTGGGTCTGGTGCTGGCCATGTCATGCAGACTGTGATCTCTCTACATAATATGTATTATTGGGGCTGCTCCAGTTTTCTTGTGCTCATATTGATGATTTTTTTTTCCTTGGGGTTAGCAAACAGTGTGTGCTTATAGAAAGTGATGGTGGTTGCCTGAACATACACATTTGGGGAGAGCTCTTGGGCACTGCCTTATTTGGCCTTTAAATCGCAGATTTAGGGCCCCTTTGCAGCTGCAAGATGCAAAATGTCTTTTTTTTTTTTTTTTTTTTTTTTTTTTTTCCATGAGGGGGTGAAGGGAAAGCTCCAACTCTTTAAAGGTTGATCCTCGTGGCCTGAGGGGTGGCAGGGGGGTGTGTGGGAGGATCAGTGTGTGGGGACAGGAGCTGTGAGTGCTGGGGGGGCTCCTGGTGTGCTCAGAGGAGCAGCACTGGGTGTATTCCTGGCTCCAGCCCCCTGGCACTGGAGTTGTAGGAACATGTGGATGGAGGAACCTGTTGGAAGAATGGGAACTGGCTGGAACTGTGCTCCCCTGCCTTCCCCAGAAAGCTGGATTCTCCTTTAAGTGACTCTCTCCAAAGTGCTTCCTTTCTGTTGGCTTTCTTTTTTTTCCCAATGAAAACTGGCAAAAACTCCTGAACTTTCCCCAGGAACTCACGTTTCAATTTAAAATTGAGCCTTTGGGTTGAAAAAAAAGAAATCAGAACTCTGCGAGGAGTTCAGCTGGGGAGGAATTGGCTGCAGCAGCCCCAGCCCGTGTGTTTGGGTTTGGTTTGTTCCAAACTTGTGAACAGCTCCGGGCAGTGCCAGTAATGACTCCAATCTGCAAGTCTTCAGTTTTAAACACTTTCCACCTCAGGGGGAGATAAGGGCTCGTTTCTCATGAAAAGCTCCCATTTATGCGGCTCTGAGCATTCCAAGGCTTGTCCCAGGCACCGTAAATTCGGGAACATGGGGGAAAGTACAGCCAGGCCAGGGAGCAGCACGTAGGGAGCTCCTTCCAGCCGGGGGAGGGAGGGTGAATGGAGCTGCTCTTCGTGACAGGGAGCACCGGGGCATCGTCTCGTGACTGAGAACAGAACACAGAGGCTTCTTGAGCCTCGGCCAAAGGGCCTCTGCACGTGGGATTCCAGGAGGGATGGGCCGGGCCGGGTGGGAGGCTCTGCCCACGGTGCTGTCACTGCCAGCAGCACTGCAGGCAGTGGGAAGTGTGTCCCAAGGGCTCCTGGTACAACCTGCCTGAGCTGCAGGGGGGTGCAAGGCTGGGCTGGCTCCTGGGGCACTGCAGAAAAAGGGATACACAGCACCCACACCTGCCCCAAAATGCCAACCTGGAAGCGTGGCTGAATTCCGGAAGGTTTGGGCCACCTCGGAGGGTGCAGGGCTGGCTGAGGGTTCCAGCTTGGGCAGGCAGCTGGCACTGCAGCAGGGCCCTTGGGAATCAGCAGCCATCCTCCCTGCCTCTGCCATGACCCTACAAACGTCCCCAAATCCCTGACCCTGCTCCAGCCTCTGCCATGACCCTACAAACCTCCCCAAATCCCCATCCCTGCTCCAGCCTCTGCCATGACCCTACAAACCTCCCCAAACCCCTGACCCTACCCCAGCCTCTACCATGACCCTACAAACCTCCTCAGATCGATCTCTGTCCGGCCCATTCCCTTAAGAGTTGGACTCAGTGGTCCTTGTGGGTCCTTTCCAACTCAGTATTCTGGGATTAAATCCCCTGATTTAATCCTGTACCCCTGTAAAGGCTCCAGGTTAAACCTGCTCTCCAAACTCCATTGGCTGGCTGGCCCAGACCAGTGAGTCTTCTTGGAAGGCTGATGGAGAGACTGGAGCAGGGACAGGGATTTAATCCCACAATATTCTGAGTTGGAAAGGGACCCACAAGGACCACTGAGTCCAACTCTTAAGGGAATGGCCCATACAGGGATCGATTTGGGGAGGCTGGGAAAGTGGATGGGAAAGGCTGGAGCAGGGATGGGGATTTGGGGAGGTTTCTATTCCATTTGGCTTTCGGTTCCTTCAGACTCTTCATCAGTGCCACAAACAACTGCCTGAGCACAGATGTGATGGCTGGGGCTGTTCAGTGTCTCTTCTTATTAAATCCTACAACCATGTTGCAGTTGGGCTGGAATTTTCCCTTAGGAAAGGGGAAACTGCTCTGTGTTCCCTCCAGATCCGTTTCCCCCTCTCCCTCCTCCATTTTCCAACTCCGCTCTGAAGAAACTCAGGAGATCACACTGGATGTTGTTTGCAAGACTTGCCTGAGACCTTGGGAGCTTGTCTGCTTGGCCAGGGAATGGTTACAGAGCACAGCAAACCTGGGAAGTGTTTCAACCTGAGGGGTTCAACTGCAGTAGATGTGGGGCTGGATTGGATTCCATTGTTCCAAATAATGACACCAACCAAGCTCAAAGGCCCCTTCTGGCTGGAGATTCCAACATGAGGTTGTGCTTTGTGATTGTTATTATTATTTAAATTGATTTTTTTTTTAAATTTTTAAGCCAAGCCAGAAGAACCTGTTAATTAATTAGGATGTTTTCATGAGGACTTGTAGGACCAGGGGTTTCTCCTGAGCTCTGCTCATGCTGTCCAAGCCATCAGTGAGGGATAAGAACTCGCTCAGAGGAAATGGCCAGGGCAGAATAAAGCTGAATTCCCTGTGCTGGGGTAACTGCTGCTGGGGATAAAGCAAAGGGGGGCTGTGCAGGAGCAGCTTCTGGGGGAGCTGGGTCAGCTCTGCTGGGGTGACTCTGGGAGGGTTTCCAGGGGATGTTCATGGATTTTCATGGGGATGTTTGTGGATGAGCTGCTGTCCTGGGTTGTTCTGACCCTGGGCAGATGAGGAATGGGAAGAAAGGGAAGTTCTCCTCCCCCCTTGTGCTCTCCCTGCAGTGCTGATGGAAAAGGACACAGGACACGCTCTCCTTTGGTGTGCACTGAGAGGCAGGAGCAGGTTTCATGCCGTTGCTTCCCTGGTTTCTGGGCCAGGATTTGCCAAAGGAATTCCTCACCTGCCATTCCTGGGTGACTGTTCATTGGTTTGGGCTGTGCCAGCCCCTGCCATGGACTGGAGGAAACACAGGAGTGAGGGCAGAGAATCCCAGAATGGTTTGGGTGGGAGGGACCTTAAAGCCCCTCCAGTGCCATCCCTGCCATGGACAGGGACACCTCCCACTATCCCAGGCTGCTCCTTTGATCCAGCCAGGCCTTGGACACTCCCAGGGATCCAGGGGCAGCCACAGCTGCTCTGGGAATTCCATCCCAGCCCCTCCCCACCTCACAGGGAAGGATTCCTTCCCAGTCTCCCATCTCACCCTGCCCTCTGGCAGTGGGAAACCATTCCCTGTGTCCTGTCACTACTTCCCTGTGTACAAAGTCCCTGTCCCTCCCCCTGTCCCTGCATTTGTAACCAAAGGGCTGTGTCCAAGTTTCTTGGGTTGATAGAACCTCTGCAAGGCTGGCTGATGCCAATCCATGAACTGCTTACACAAGGGGAAATTATTTCCTGGTGGAAATAGGAAAGCTGAGATACTGATGGAAAAAGCTTTTATTTGATTTATATCATGTCTCGAAATAGAGATAATCCAACCATTTCCTGCCATCTGCCCACCAGGGTTTTTCTTCTATTCCTTTCCAGTCCTCTGCTTTCTGTTACCTGTCCCTGCCCTTTGCTGTAGAATTTCCCCCTGGTGGCTCCCCAGAAATGACATTTCTGCAGCAGGAAACAAGGCAGATGATTTGAGAGCCCCGACACTTGTAGCTCTGGAAGGTCCTTAGATACAAGACTCTAATTAAAAGGTCAAAGCCACTTGCAGAAACAAACATCTAAATATAACCTCAGCTGGGTGCAGATGGGCCCTGGTAACTAAGGCTGGATACAACAATGTGTGTAGGAACTCCAGCAGCTTCCCTAAAATAGAATTTATTTTTTTTTTTGTAGCCTGATGCAAATACAAATGCAGCTCCAAGGGCTTTGTTAGCACGAATTTGGGAGGATTTTGCTAAACCCACTCGTGCTTGTGTTGCTCCTGAGTCAAGTCCCAAGTTAAATCAACCCCCCTCCTGTGTCTCACACAAGATCTGGTGTGGTTTGGTTTTCAGCTGATGAGGAAGGCTCCACATCCACCTCTCTTTGTGTGCGTGTGCTGGAGGGTGTTTCTCCTGCACTGAATCCTCTCCCACTGTTTGTTTGCTGCCTGATTTTAGAAAGCCATTCCCTGGGCTGGACTCTCCCTGCCCATCTGGAGCTGGGAGCCTGTGCCAGATGCTGGATGGAATCAGCTCTTCAGTGGGGGGCTTGCACTCGAGTACCTGCTGCATCCCAGTAATCCCCCAAGGTCTGCAGCTCCACAGCTCCTGATGGCAGGGAATGACAGAGGAATAAGTGGAGTGACAGTTCCTTCCTGTCAGTCTTGTGCTGCTCCATAGAAACGTGAAAAATACATTTCCTTCAGCTTATTTTTTTTTACTTAAAAAGGCTCATTTTAATGGCCTGGGTGGCAGCCAAAGGCCCCTTACCCGGTGTGCTTGGTGTTCTTAAAAATATTGTGTGTCATTTATTCTTTAAAATACCGTGGATAATTATTCTTTAAAATATCATGGTTCTTGTAAACTCCTGCCAAACCAGCTCCTGATGGCTTTTTTTCCTTTTGTTTCAGGACAAACACCATGATGCTGCTCATGAAATTATTGAGACCATTCGGTGAGTGTTGGGTGCTGGGCCCCTTCCTGAGCCTCAGAGCAGCTTAGGGAAGGGCTGTCTGGGGCCAGAACACAGACCTTACCCTGCAGAGTTCTTCTCTAGGCTGAATTTGTTGCAGTCCCAAAGCTCCCTGGCGAGCAGATTTTGTTTCATCTGCCCATATTCCACTCTGTTCTGAACAGAATTAGGAGTGAGTGGTGATGTTCAGCTTGAAGGCTGATTAAAGCAGTTTGTATTTGAGCTGTGGACAGACAAGGTTAAGAAAACAGCCCTGACTGGGTGTGCTGAGCCCTGGTCCTGCCTTTCCCCACCCCCTCCCTTCCCCCTGTTGCTTTGGGTTGTTTGGCAGTGATGTCCCTGTAGCATTCCTTGGAATTCTGCTGCTGGAGGGGGGAAAGTGGGAGGATAAAGGTGACAGACAAGTGTGAGGAGCAGGATCCAGAGGATTTCCCAACACAGGCCGTGGTCACAGCGTGACCTGCTGTTCTTTCACAGCATCAGGAGGTGACTTGGTATGGAACAACTTCTATGAAATGGGAACAGAAACACCCCAAAAAACACCTGAGGGATGGGGAGTGTTGTCCACAGTCAGGCTGTTCCTGTTGCCGGTGTTGGATCCTTCCCGTGGCTCAGGGCTGGATCTGCAGCAGGTTGGGGGGGTTTGATACCCTTTAGTGGGACAGAAACAGGTGAGGTCTGAGGGGTTTTACCTGCAGAGCCCCCCTGAGCTTGGGATCTGCTCCCCTGTGGCCTGGGAGAAGGTGGAGAGCCAAGTGCTGGATAACATCACACACACAAAATCAGAGCATTTCCCAAGCTCTGGGGGGAGGGAGGATTTGGAATGGGGCTGGAGATGGGAATTTTTCTTCTCGAGAAACTCCTTTTTCTGACTCCAGAGCCTGCCACAAGAAGTGCCTCAGGATTAGGGGGGTAACATCTTATGCCTTGAGGTCTTGGGGTTGTTGACCTGACCCTTCTGAGGGGCTTAGAGGGACGTGGTGCAGAAGGTGGTGGCTGCAGTTGGTGAGGGCAAGGCCAGAACTGTCTCAGGAAGTGGTTTTGGGGCCAAAGTGATGTTTCCCAACTATGTTTTGGGCAAGATTAGTGTCAGAAACTTTCCTGCTGCCTTGGGCAAAGTACCCACAGGGTGGTTGTGGGGCGGGGGTGACAGTGCAAAGCAGCCTTTATCTGCTGGAGGCAGTGGAACCATGGGATATCCTGGGATATCCTGGGCTGGCAGTGACACACAAGGATCAAGCTGCTGCCTGTAATTCCTGTAATTTAAGAGAAAAATTTGGCAGAGGTAGAGCCCAGAGTTGTTATTTTTTATGATTTTAGTAGGGAATAATATGATTTTAAAGGAACTGTCATTCCTGTAGGAATTCATCCTTGGAATGGAGGTGTTGTGATGAGGGCAGTGCTTTCCCCATTTTGATATATCTGGTGGCCACAACAGTCAGCTCAGCCTGTCAGAGGGGCCTTTTGTCAGGGGAACTTTGGAAAATCCGCTTGGGCTGGGCCTGTGAGGTGTGGGAGCAGCTCAGACACGGCCATAGGGGAACAGCCCTGCAGGGAGGGGCTGGTGACAGTGTTTTGAGGTGCTGTGGGAAATCTCTTCTCCACATCCAGCTCTGTCAAGCACAGGATCAGCATTCTTTGGAAGTGCTGCCCTCCTGCACCGTGTTTGATGTCGGGTTGGCATCAGCCACGGCGTTGAGTATTTTTAGGCACGTTGAACACATTTTATTACCTTATTTTGAAGCTGTTTCAAGAGCTGCCAATGTCTGCGGGCATCTTGCTGTTTGTTCAGTACAAATGTGAGCTGTTGCAGCTTTCCATGAGTATTTTGGGATGTCTGCCTTACTCCTGAGGGCACTCTGAGCTTCCAGGGCTGTGCAGGATCCTCATTCCATGTACAGCATTGCCAGCCTAGAACTGAGACAATATCATTACACTTTGACTGGCAATGCTTTTGTTAATTATTTCTTCTCTCCTTCCAGGTGGGTCTGTGAAGAAATCCCAGATCTCAAGCTCGCCATGGAAAACTATGTTTTAATTGACTATGACACAAAAAGGTGAGAGGGATGTTTTGGGAGGCCGGGCCAGCACGGTGTGTTGTGAACTGGTGTCACTGGTTATTCTTAGACACTGAAGTTTCCTTTCAAACTGGCTGCAGGCTCTGCAGAGTTATTTTGGTAGGAAATGTGTAACAGCAGCATTGGCAGAGCCCTGTTGGATGAAGGACATAATTGGAAACTCCACAGGCAGCGAGCTGGGCCGTGGTGTGGGTTGGAATTACTCACTCCCCAACAATGCTCGGTATCTGCGCCGCTGGAGCACGGCCAGGGTGGGAATCTGAATGGCACTGAGGGATCTGCTGGTGGAGTAACTCCCAGTTCCTGCCCAGAGCTCACAGTTCCTGCCCAGAACGTGGCCTGGCTGTCAGTGGGAGCTGTGGCAGCTTCACCTTCCCCTCCCTCCTCTGGGCTCTGTGTGTGGGACAGCCTAAAATAAAAGGGAAAGTGTCATCCCAGTGTCCTGGGCAGGGAGGGATTCTGAGATCCCTGTAGTTCCATGGGAATTCCTGTTCCACAAGCAGCTTAAAAGCAATGTTTAGCATGTAGCATTTACCTCTGGGCTGGGAGAGGCAGATCCTGATGGGGATGTGCAGGACACAACCTAAAATGTGCCCCAGCAGGAAAGCACAGGGGTTGTTCCATGGGCTGGTTGGGATTACAGTCAGTCTAGGCAGATGCCTTAATGACAGAGGGCTGAGAGGAGGCATCTGAGGTTCTGTGCATGGAATGAGCTGTGCTGAGGTTGGGAAAAGGGATGGGTTTGAGCTGTGGTTTGCAAAAACCTCTTTGGTTGCCTTCCTGGGAAAGGTGAACTTGTCCAAGTCCACAGCACGAGTCAACTGGCAGAGTGGGGTTCAGAGATGAAACTTCCTTGCTTTAATTGGAATCACAGAATCCTGGTATATCCTGAGCTGGGAGGGACCCACAGGGATCATCCAACCCAACCCCTGGCCCTGCCCAGGACACCCCAACAATCCCCCCCTGTCCCTCAGAGCGTTGTCCAAACGCTCCTGGAGCTCTGGCAGCCTTGGGGCCGTGCCCACTGCCCTGGGGAGCCTGGGCAGTGCCCACCACCCTCTGGGGGAAGAACCTTTCCCTGAGATCCATCCCAATCTTCCTGAGCACTGGATACTTGTGTCATGATCTGCTTAAGTTGTTGCTTCCTCCTCTCCCAGTTTTCTGTTTGGTTGCCAGACCTGTTAGTTCTTCTCTTCCTCCTGAGAAATTCAAAGGGAGAAATCCAGGTTGAGCCTCCCTTGTCATCAAATGCATTAGTTTGGATTTGTGGATTACTCCCAGTGGCTGCAGTGCTGTAATTTTATAGTCCTGGCATCCTCCCTGGGCATGTTCAGCTGAGGACCATCAGTGAGGTTGGCAGCAAAACTGAATAACAGGAAACCCCTCTGTTCCCCAGAGTCACATCCCACTCACCTTCCTGCAGCTTCTCCAGGAAGCCATAAACCTGGAATTTTGCTTATGGTTTCAGTCTTTTTTTTTTTTTAATTATTTTTATTTCCTTTTTAAAAAAACTACCAGAAAAATGAGTGATAGCAGGGGGAGCAGTCCGAGGATGGGGAGGGAATGCACACACTGTGCAGCCCAAATCCTCTTGGAAGCTGGGGCTGGAATGGCCAGAACTCCTGGGAGAGGTGTGTGGTGGCTCTGAGGATCACAAGAGTCTCGGGTGTCCCTTTTGCTGTCACCTGGTCCCCCCTCCCCTCCCCAGCCTTGGCAATGGCCATGCTTTAACTGTGTCACCCCATAACTCCTTGGATTGGTTCTGCTGCTGCTTTCTGGGTCTGATTATGTAATGGATAATGTTCCCTGGAATATCTTCTCTTCCCTGGCCAGAGATGAATTTGTTTAATCCTCTCAGCCCTCTGTCATTAAGGCATCTGCCTGGACTGACCGTAATCCCAAGCAGCCCATGGAGCAATCCCTGTGCTTTCCTGCTGGGGCACATTTTAGGTTGTGCCCTGGCTCTGTCTGCATTTTCAAAGCCAGAATTAATTTCTAGAGAAGCATCTGCTTGTCTCAGGACTGATTATCAGGAAAAAAAAGAGGAAAAATTACCAGGTCTCTTTAAGTTTCTGTGCAGCTGAGAAGATGCAAAAGAGGTAATGACTGAGAATTCAGAACTCCAATTAAGAGAAAATGGGCTGAACTCAAAGCATGGCTTAGAATAAAGGTACTGATATTATTTGTCATGTACTTCTGATCTACTGGGGATTTTTTTAAAGGAAACAAAGTCTTAAATCAGTGCATCTTCTGAGAGAAACAAACCCTAAACTCCCACCTAGAGTAAGCAAGAAGACAGAAAAGCTTAAGGTTGTACCTTTAGTGACTACTAAAAGCATATTTTGCAGCCTTACAACTTTACCAACCTCCTTCAGTTCAGCTGGTGACCTTTTCATGTGGTTTGGGTATTTTTGCTTTACATTATAGAAATATTCTTGTCACACCAAACATGGGAACACCGAAATCTTTTGTGAGGACACACTTGGGAGACTCACACTTGGTGCAGGCCAGCAGGGAGTCAGAAAGAGAACTCTGGTGGTGTGATGAGTAATTTGTGGCTAAGAAATGAGTAAATTTGAACAGCTAACTCAACCAAACAGACGTCTGGCCAGGCCTCAAAGCCGTGTTGGCAGAATAAAGTGAATTAATAGTGGTGGTAAAAGAGGGGTCTGGGCTCAGCAGCTGGATTGGATGCCCGTGGGACCCTCCCAGGGTGATCCTCGTGGGTCCCTCCCAACTCAGGGGATTCTGTGGTTCAGACCTGCCTGTTTGAGCTGCTGACCTTGTGTGGTTTCTTTTCCTCCCCCAGCTTTGAGAGCATGCAGAGACTGTGTGACAAGTACAACCGAGCCATCGACAGCATCCACCAGTTGGTAGGTGTTCAACTGCAGCCCTGCCACCCTTCTTGTCTGCCTGCTTTGAGCTCACACAGGGTGAATAACACCAGGAAGCTGGGACACACTCACAGTTACTGTGGTAACATCACCAAAATCCAGCACTTCCATCCTTCTGGGGGCTTGTCTTGATGTTAAACTCATTTTCTTCATCACACCTGGGCAGTCAGGAGTTGGCAATCAGGGAGAAAAGCAATTAAACCCCACTTTTTGTTCCCAAACCACGGGTTATTGGGAGCTGTTGGTGTTTGTTGTGCACTTCTGGCATTGTTGTTTTGGCACCTGGGAAGAGCTGAGTTATCTTCAGGGGGAAGAAAAGGCTTCTCTGCATTTAACATGGAGATGTTTCACAAGGATTTCTTGCATGGATTAACTTCTGTGTGGGGAAATCTGTGGCTTATGGGTACTTAAATAATCCATATGAAGTCCCCTGTGTGCTGTGGAAGTGATCCATGCCTCAGGAATTTCCTTGCCACACAGTTCAGCCTCTCTGTTCTGTGGGATCTCTGGCTGAAGGAGAATGTAATGTCTTTTCAGACCAATTTAATGAGCTTTTTGCTTCTCTTACCCCATAAAAGGTTGAACTGGAGGAAGCAAAACATGAACAGTGAATAATGTCACTGTTCTGTTGAATTTGGAAGTATAGGTGGATTTTTTTTTTGTTTTCCTCTGCTGTGCTTATGGGAATTATTTGAGGTGTGCACTATTATGGCAAAAAGACCTTTTTCCAGGATTTCCTTCATTTTGTGGGCCTAAAACTTGTGCTTGTTCAGATTCATGTGTGTGTTGGTTAACAGCTGAACAGTACAAGCTATTCAGCCTCTGCAGTTGCATCTGAACCCCAACACAGGAATGTTCAGGAGTTGCCCCTTTTTGTTTTGTTTTTAATCAAAAGGAGGAGGTAAACATTTTTAAGACTGAACAACTTTTATGCTTAGGACAAGGTTTTTTTTCCTGAGGAAGAAAGGAAGCTTGATTTCCATCTCTTTCCTGCCACTCCCTGTTTGAGTACATCTGATCCCTCCCATCTGACAGCTCCCGAGGCAGAATCCAACTGCTCCTGTGTTGACACAGGCTCGGTGTCAGCTCAGTGACGAGCAGTAAATAGAAAATCAGTGAGCAAACTCTGCACCTTCTCAGCTTTATTCAGTGCTTTACGTTGTCCCTTGGGTTTTGCATCTCTTGAACTGTCCCTTTGCCACCTGTTCCCAGCAGACCTGGAGTGACCCCTCAGTGAGGTGACAAAGTGCCCAGAGCTGGGGTGTGTTTGCCTTCACTGTCAAAGTTTGGGGTGGGAGGGACCTTAAAGGTCATCTTGTTCCACCCCTTGCCATGGGCAGGGACACCTTCCACTGGCCCAGGGTGCTCCTTTGATCCAACCTGGCCTTGGACACTTCCAGGGATCCAGGGGCAGCCACAGCTTCTCTGGGCAACCTGGGCCAGGGCCTGCCCACCCTCAAAGAGGAGAATTCCTTCCCAATATCCCATCTCACCCTGCCCTCTGGCAGTGGGAAGCCATTCCCTCTTGTCCTGTCCCTCCATCCCTTGTCCAAAGTCTCTTAGAGCCCCTTTAGGGCTCTCAGGTCTCCCTGGAGCCTTCCCTTCTCCAGGTGACCCCCCCAGCTCTCCCAGCCTGGCTCCAGAGCAGAGGGGCTCCAGCCCTCCCATCAGGACCATTCTGACCTTTAAGAAGCAGCTCCAGCCCCTCTGGGAGAGGTGCTGGGAGGGGATTTCCCCTCACTGTGCCATCCACAACCTGGGTTCCCACTTGTCCCTGTGTTCCCTGCAGTGGAAGGGGACGACGCAGCCCATGAAGCTGAACACGCGTCCCTCCAACGGGCTGCTCCGGCACATCCTGCAGCAGGTCTACAACCACTCGGTCACCGACCCCGAGAAACTCAACAACTACGAGCCCTTCTCCCCAGAGGTCTATGGAGAAACCTCCTTTGACCTGGTGGCCCAGATGATCGATGAGATCAAGATGACGGAGGACGATCTGTTCGTTGATTTGGGCAGCGGTGAGTGAGCCACGACTTCTTTTTCTTCTTCTTGTTCCCTGCTTTTCCCCTTCCTTCCCATAAACCAGGCCCAAGGGTTGCCCTGCAGGCTAAACCAGGCCCAAGGGTTGCCCTGCAGGGTAAGCATCTCTTCTGGATAAATCCCCTGCTTTTTCTGATGGGATTAAAATGACCCATCACATGCCCCAGATGTTCTCTGTGGGGCTGAAATATCAGTGCAGATTTTATTTCAGAAGTGAACCAGGAGTGAAGATTGTCATGCAGGATGAGCCAGGCCTAAGGATTGCCTTGCAGGATAAGCATCTTTTCTAAATAATCCCCCCTGCTTTTTCTGACGGGATTAAACGGACCCAGCAGATGCCCCAAGGTTCTCTGTGGGACTGAAGTATCAGCAGAAATTCAATAAATTGTTACACAGCTCTTGGTTTCTGTTGCTGTTGGTGGATACACTTAGAAAGAAACAGTGTTAAAAATGGTGCTCTGAAAATAAAGTAGCATTCCCGAGGGTTCATCTGTTTTCAGTGGATTTTAGGTCCTCTTTACCTGAAAAGGAGATTCCTTGACCCTTCTCACCTGAAACACTCGGTGTGGGATCCGAAAATGAAGTAGATTTTTGCCTCTGACTTAGCTTGTCAGTGTGTCAGAGAAGATTTTATGGTTCATTTCAACAGTTGTCTTGGGAGACCCCACAAAATCCAAACCACAAGTGCCACAGGTAGAGTTTTGAAAGGAAAAAGGTGTTTCTGGTTGGTGAGGAAACCAGGTATGAGTCAAGGAACAGAGACCCTGAGTAAGAACATGCTGTTCTTTCTCTTGGTAAATTTGGTTCAGGGCAGGAAAGGTGCAAATAATAAGAATTTCCCCTCTTACTGGATGTGCTGTAAAGTTTTAAGTCAAGTATGTTTTTGGGTTTTGTTGCTGGTGTGATACAGGACTTGTGGGGAAAAATGTTTTTTAAAAATATATTTTAAATTTAAATAAAGGACTGCAATTCTCTCCCCCCAAAAACCCTAAGACATCTTCAGTGATTTTTCCTTTTTTCACCCCTATTTCCTCCCTCAGTGGGACTGATGTCTGAAATTTCCTGATGTTCAGATGAGACATTGAGAAAGGCATCAGATCTGACAAACTGTTTTCCATCTGGAATTAAAAAAAAAAAAATAGTTTGTTCAGGAAGGGTAAAGGAGGTCATATCTGAAGCCCTGTAGTGCTGCAGGCTCAAATATTAGATAATTTATGATGATGGCAGCTAAAAGTATTAATTTTATTGCTCACCTTGAGGCTGAGCAGCACTTGGGAAGTGGGAATGACTTCAGGGATCACAGAACCTCCATGTGGGAATTCAGACACTGGGAGTTAAAGCAGCTCAGCCCCACAGTTCATCTGCTCTTCTCCTGCTGCCCTCTCTGCTCCAACAGCTCTCCCCTCCCCTTGCAGTGGTTTCTGCTGAGATTTGCTCTCAGTTTGGGGTTTTTCTCCCCCCTGCAGGTGTGGGGCAGGTGGTGCTTCAGGTGGCTGCAGCCACCAACTGCAAACATCACTATGGAGTGGAGAAGGCCGACATTCCAGCCAAGTATGCTGAGGTGAGTGGGGGTGGAGTGGGCTCTGGTGGGGCTGGGCTGAGGGTCAGCCCTGCTTGGTTTTCCCTCTCAGGTCAGGCAGAGCTGGAGCAGGGTGTGCTTGGGGAGAGGAGTGTTCTTCCAGCCTGCAGAGCACGTTGACATCTCCCTGAAGTGCTGGCAGCTCTTTACCAGCAATGACACAGGGCCTGTTCAAAGGGAAAAGCTTCACCCAAACACCTGCAATCCTTCTGTGCCTGGAGTGGCTCTGACAGAACCTCCACAGGCACAGCAAATCCAGCAATTAATTCAGCAAGGAAATAGCTCTTACATATTTTGAAGGCCGTGGTTCTGCCAGTGGTGGTGGTGGTGGTGGTGCCCTTTTTGGTGTCCTGAGCTGAAGTTCAGCTCAGTTATTAAACCATCAGGGGCTCATTAGTAATTAAATTTAGTTATTAAACCATCAGGGGCTCGTTGATGAGGCCTTTGTGGGGTGTCTGGTTCAGAACTGCTCAGGAGGCACCTGAATGAAGAAAAGGGGCTGAACCTGAAGGAGGGCAGGTTTAGATTAGATATTAAGAAGAAATTATTTACTCTAAGGGTGGGCAGGCCCTGGCACAGGTTGCCCAGAGCAGCTGTGGCTGCTCCTGAATCCCTGGAAGTGTCCAAGGCCAGGTTGGATCAAAGGAGCACCCTGGGCTGGTGGAAGGTGTCCGTGCCATGGCAGGGGGTGGGACTGGATGATCTTTAAGGTCCCTCCCAACCCAAACCCTTCCATGTTTCTCTGATATTGGTCAGGTTTCTTTACACTTCTCATTGTGTAAATGAGCAGTGGGACACACAAAGATAACGAGTTCCAAGGCAAACCTGGAAGGCCCCAAGCAAACAGCAAAGGTCAGTCAAGCCTAACCAGGAGGAGTTTTCTTGCCTCAGTGCCTGAGCCAGACATTTATCCCTCTGTCTTGGCAAAACACTCTGACTCAGCCTGTGCAGGCTGCAAAATTACACCCCATGGAGGGAGGGCAAGAATAAAGCTCCTTGATCCTCCCTCTCTGTGGTGAGGGCAAAAAGGCATCAGCACAGCGGTGAGGAGGATCAGACAAGGATCCAAAATCCATCCTGTTCCCCTGCCATGGCCCAGGGGAAGTTTCCAGCTCTGCAGCCCCTCTGTGGGAGCATCCTGATCTCATCAGGGAGCACTTGCAAGGCCTGGAATCCCCTCTGGCTTTGCTGTTAAACTTAAAGATCAGCATTAAAGGGGAGTTCTCCCTCTCACCAACACCCCTTCATGGCTTCAGTGGAAACAGCAAACAGAAAAACCACCCACAGACAGAGTTAGGAGTGCTGACTGCTGGGTACCTCCAGTTTCAGGAGTGTTTCCTGGGGATATTCTGCATTATTCTGGTTAAACCCTGCCAGATTTAAGAACCCAGCAGCTGCTGCAGTGTCAGAGGGTGTGGAGCTGCCTGAGTGCAGCTCCTCTGCCCGTGCCAGGGACCAGATTTCCCCCCAAACCTTCATGGCAGGGCTTGGATTAAGTGTCTGGTTCAGATTGCCTCTCTGGGCACCATGAGAGCTGATAATTGATGCAGATGGCTTTGAAGAGCTTCAGCTGAAGGGTGCTGTGGGCTTGTTTTAGTGAAGTTGTCTCCAAAAATAAATAAAAATGCAGTTGTGCAGCGGGAGAAGATCCGGAGGATTTCTGAGTTATCCTGCTGAGCTTTGGAAAGCTTTGGGAATAGGTTTTTAAAGCACATCTGTCAACACAAGCCTTTGCTGACCTGCTGATGGAGGTCTCCACCACCTCTGAGCTGTCAGGGAAGTCAGAATTCCTGCTGGTCTCCTCTCAAAGCATGGTGGAGTGGTTTGGGTTGGGAGGGAGCTCTGGAGATCACCCACTCCAACCCCCTGGAGCAGGTGACACAGGGATGTGTCTCCAGAGAGGGACACTCTCCCTTAGCTCCTTTCCCTGCTCCTTTGGACCAAACCCTAAAGATCAGGAGGGTTTGTTTTTTTCCAGCCTTCCAAGATACCTGATTTTCATTTTCCAGCTGTTTTTGGGAAGTGGAGCTGCCCCTGGTTCCCCTCCATAGCCTGTCCTGCTCAGGGCCAGCTGGGCCAGCTGGAATTGTGCTGGTGGGGGCATTCCAGGCACTGAGATCCCTGGATATTGGGGGATTTCATTCCTTTCTCCTCCATTTAGGCAATAGAAAACTGGTGCCAGTAAGAACCTTCCATCCTCTGCAGCCCTGGAGTGAAGGATTCCATCACTCCAAAACCCTTGGATGCAGTTTGGGCCATCCCTGGTTTCTGTGGGAATGGGAATCCTTTGGCTGCTGATCCTGCCCTCCCCCTGACCCCACAGACCTGGCTGTAGCCTGGGTGTCCCTTTGCTCTCAGGCCTCAGGCTGGGCTGTCTCCTCCCTGCTCCCTGGGGGATTATGTGGGAAGCTCAGGAGCTGCTTAAAGCTCTGCCATTTTTAGTGCTGGGCAGTGGAACTCCCAGGAGAAGGGGCAGGGATGAAAATTCCACCTCAGACTTGCAAAAATTTTGAGGTTTAAAAAAAACCCTCCAGCCAACCCCACCAGCCAGGAGTCCTGGGGGTCAGGGAGCCCTGACAGAGCTGGGCCTCCCTTCCTTGGGTGGGTTTGCAAGCAGGAGATGTCCCAACAGCTGGTTTTTTGTTTTCCCTCCCTCTTGCAGACCATGGACAGGGAGTTCAGGAAGTGGATGAAGTGGTATGGGAAAAAACACGCAGAATACACAGTGAGTAAAATCCTGCTGCTCCTGCTGGTGCCCAGCTTGGAGAGCCCTGTCCAGCCTTTCCCCAGCCACCAGCAGTGTGACCACAGCTGCTCCCTGGCTCTTCCCTGCATCCTGGTTTTTCCAAGTCATCCCTTTCTCTTTGTCTTGCTTGATGTGTTATGTGGTGTTGTTGGAACCACTTCCACCCTTGGGAGATTTTTATCCTCCTAAAATGTCATTTTAAGCGGGGCTGCCACGTTTCTTCTGTTGGTTTTAAACCTCCTTTCCCTTTTTTTTCCCCCCCTTCTCTCCATGGATTGGGGGTTTTGCTGGAGAGAGACTGTTGGAAGTGGCAGCTCCTCCTTGGGTTTCTGGGGTGTCCTGGTAGGAACAAAAGCTGGAGCTTTGCTTCCCAGGCAGGGGAAGGTGTGGAAAACTGGGACAGGGGCTTTTGGGGGGTGGGATGGCAGGGACTGAAGTTCTGGCTGGTGGTTGGAGCAGGAAGCTCCAGGAGCAGTGGGAGGCTGTGGGCTCAGGAAGGGTGTTGGGGTGGTTAATTCTGGTTTGGAAAGGATTGGAATTGTTAGGGGGTCATCACAGGGCATCTCCCTCCCTGGGGACAGGGACAGGTGTTGGGATTCTGAGATTCTTTCCTCCCTCCCCATGTTTTGCCCTGTGGAATGAGAGTGTCAAATCCATCCCCACTGTCCTGTGCCATTCCTTCCCCTTTTCCCTTTCTCCTCCTCCTTAATTTTCATTAAGAAAACCTGGGAATTCATTCAGAATCCCTGGGAAGTGATGGGAAATGCATGTCCAACAGGAAATACACGTTCACCAGGAACCCCCTGGAAATGCTGTGAACCCCGTTGGCCTGAGCGTTCCAGCAGGGTGGGAATTCCCAATTTTCCCAACCTTTTTTCCCCCCTCAGTTTTTTTGGCTGCTGGGATCCTTCAGAGGGCTCATTTTGTAGGAAAGCCTGTGCCAGCTCTGCCTTTGGAAAACAGGCTGGAAAGGTGCCTCTGAGCACTCTCTCCCTGGAATTCCCTGGATGGAATGATTCCCTCCCCAGGGCTGCTGGGGGGGATGGGAATCCATTCCTGCTCCTCCAGTGGCCACATGGCATTTTTCCATTGTGTCACCCAGCTGGCAGGACATGAAAGGAGCTGTTCCTGAGGATGCTGGGGAATTCAAGGAGCAGGAGAGGAGCTGGGATATAAAATATTGGAAGCATATTGGCTATCCTGGGTAGCATTTCCAGATGGAGCCTTCCCAGTGGCAGAGTCTGGGGCTGTGTTGGAACAAAGGACTTATTTTTGCCAGGTTCTTTGGTTTTTCTGACTCTGCTTTTCTGCAGGGTTTGGAGTAAAAATCTCCCCTGAATGTGCAGTCTGGGTTTTATTTTTGGGGAAGAGTTAAAACGCTTTGGCTTCAGGAAAATTGGTTTCTTGTCGCTTGGAGTGATGCTTGAACACAGGTTTGGATTTTTTTACGTGCAGACACACAGGGCAGATTTTATTTACTTTTTGTTCATCAGACATCCCAGTTTATTTTCTTTAGAAGCTCCTCAGCAGCATCTGCTGTAGGTGACTCATTAAACAGAGCCAACTTGTCTCATAATGCAGCTGGAAAGCACAGAATTGAAAGCCTGGCTTCCTTATCCTCCTGGAAAACAATTTTGTCCCTGCAAAATGCTCCCAAAACGCCAAAAATAAGCCTAAATTTGTAATAGTCTGTCATCAGCTGGTGAATCCCACCCCAGTGTTCGAGGCAGTGGAATGAAAACTCAATATTTTGGGAAGAATCAAGTGGTGGAGGAGGGGAGGGAGCTTGGCAGGAGTTCAGTGGGAAGAGTCTCAAATCCCACCTGCAGCTCTGGCTGAACATTGAGGGTGGTGGGAAAACAGAAACTGGGGGGGACAGGAGGCAGCAAAAAACCCCAGGGGTTGGCCTGAAGGGTTTTAGATTAATTTAGCAGCCAAAAGCCCAGCAGAGTTGTAATTTTCCAATAGAAGTGGGATTTTGGGGTTCCCCTGAGAAGCTGCTGTGTCACTTCAGCAGGGCTGGGTTTGTGCAGCTCAGCAATTCCTTCTTACTGGGGCAGGGACTTCTCCTTGTAGTTCTTCCCCATTTCTCCAGCCTCAAAATGTGCCAGGGACTTCCTGAGGAATATTTTGTGGCCTTTTTGCCCCTTGCAATAATCCAAGGGGCTGCCCCAACCTCGTTATGTTTTTGTGACCTGCCCCAAATCCGACCAACAGGATTTTTTTTTTCAGATTAGTGTAAAAAGAAAATTGATAGGACTGTAAAGAAATCAAAAACGTCCCCCCCCCAAAAAAAAAAAGCTCTCCAAACTAATAAAATTGTGTTTGAAAAGGCTTGGAGAGAAGGGCAATGAGCTGCTGCTCATTAAATTGCTCTGGAGGCCTTCAAATTCACTTCCTGGCTTGTTCTTGTTACTGCTGCAAGTTCTGAGCTCGGACAGAGCAAAGTCCAGTGACGACACCTAAAATAAATCCTGATTGCCCACCTGTATTTCCCTCCTATTTTGTCAACAGCCCCAGAACAAACCCTGTTCCCATATCAAATTGGCAGCCTCATGTGCAGGGAGGTGTTTTAGGGGAGCAGGACGTGGCTGTGTGGTCACTTCAGGGGATAATTCACACTCAGTTCCTCCAGTTGCTGGTGCCAAAGTGTCCTGAGGTGTGGTGGGTGCTGCAGAGCTCCAGCTGGGTCAGCCCTGAAGCTGGGCAGGGGAGGGAGGTTGTTTCTCATACCCTGCTGGGAGTTCTCCTGCTCTCCAGCTGCTGCAGGTCTCATAATCCTGGAAAATGAGCATTTACCTGCCTGGGGTTCTGGGTGTCTCATTCCTGGTTGTGGGTGTCCAATTCCTGCTCAGTTAGGGGAAATCCCATTCTCTGCTGGTCTCCTGCAGTCAGGGGGAATCCTCCTTCCTTAGAGCTTTACATCATCATCATCATCTCCTTCAGCTTTCTGGACTGGAATGTCCCTCTTCTGACACATCTCACTTTGTCCCTGCTCCTTTTATCTTCTCATTTTCCCTCCCATGGAGCTGAGAAGTTTCCAGAATTAGCTCCTTACCCTCTTTCTCTTTTCAGGAGACTTTGGGAAGGTCGTTAGGCCTGGCTAATTAAAGAGCCCTTCTTGGGGAATTCCGCACATGTGCAGCCCCCAAATTAAAACCTGCCGTCACAATTAAGAGGCAGATGGGTTTTCATGGTTCCTGACTCTAAATATCCTCCTGTGACCTCAAAGTCAGAGCCATCTCAGGTATCTGGGGCAGGAGGCTGAGGCTGCTGTGTGGCACAAAGTGCTGCTTCTCTGCCTGGGGTCCCCTTGGAGGGCGTTTTTGGGGTTGTCCTCCGTGCCTACAACCTGTTGTGCCCTTGTGTGGGGGGAAGATTTTCTCCCTCAGAGCACTTTGGGCTCTGCTGAGGACACGGATTTGGTTGTTATAACAAAATTGTTATAACACAATTCCTGCCCTGCCCCATCAAAGCCCTGTTTTAGCAGCAGGTGACAATAATCTTCAAACCCAGGGCAGGAAACACAGCTCAGCTTTGCCAAAGCTGAGGGATTTTGGGTGGGTGGACCCCTCTGGCACGTGGGGAAGCCCTGTGGGTGAATCCTCCCAGCTCACAGAATATGCTGAGCTGGAAGGACCCCCAAAGATCACCAAGTCCCTTTTAGTGCCTAAATCAGTGCAAACCTGGCTTTGTGAACTTCCAGCCCCACCTCAGGCTGGGTTTGGGGTGTCTGGCTGGCTGTTTTCCCTGGAAATCTGAGCAAAAGCACTGATTTGGGGAGGAGGCTGGACCTTAACCCTTCATTCCCCCAGGACCTGCAGCTGGGGAGGGCTCAGCTGTTCCCTCCAGGTGTTCCTGAAGGTCCCATTTCAGCGGGAAACTCTCTGGGCTGGGCTTTGGAAAGCCCTCCCAATGTCCCCCCCCCCGTGGCTTTGAAACAGTGCCACGTTTTGGGAGGCTTGGCTCCAGGCCTCCAGTTATTTTGGAAGAGAACAGGGGCCTAAAAATAACCCTGTGTACTTTTCCAGGCAGAAAGGGCTGGGATTTGGGAGCCGAGTGTTTGCACGGAGGCGGCTGGAAGGAGCCATCCTGCCCGTGAATTTATGGCACACAGAGACTCCCCAGTCCAGCCCTGGGTGAGATCCCAGCCCTCCTCCAGGCCTGACCTTCCCAAATTCCTGCTCTCCACCTCTGGCTGCTTCTGACCTGCTGCTTCTCATCCACTTCCAGGTGCTGTTGGGTGTATTTCTGGCTGGAAAAAAAAACAAACCCAAACAACAAACCTGAATAAAAACCTGGTTTGCCTTCTAAATTTAGCAGCAGTGCAGCTCTGGGGGTGATTTTGCTGAGCTAATTATCCTGTTAGAGAAAGCATCTCCTGCATTGTCTAATCAGATGAAAATATCTGCCTTACAGATGGTCCCTTCCATTCATTATTCACTAAGGAGATTAAGTTTCCAAGAGAGAGGGAGTGGCAGGATGGGGGTGGGGACACTGGAAGAGGTGGAGAGATTGGGGTGGAAGTGTCACCTTCTCCCTGGATGACCCTCCTGGGCCACGTTCTGCTTCAGCCCTGGGGTTAATGCAGCTGCATTTTCCTCCCCAGTTCTCGTCTCACTCTCAAAATCCCTGCGAACCTCTGGGATTTTGGGGGAGTTTTGTTGGATTCCCTGTGTCAGTTGATGGGCAAGGAGCTGCTTTCCTGCTTTTTGGGAGTCCTTTATTGGTCACTGCCCCATGGTCAGGTATCTGTGGCCTGGCTCTGAGGGGAGCAGGAATCACTGCCTTGCTTCCAGAGGGGAAAAATAAGAAAAAGAACCCATTTTCTCCCAGCCCCATTTGACCATCTGGTTATTTCTGCACTCCAGTGTTTTTCCTGCTGAGATTTTTCCCTAAGCATGAGCTGGGGAAGCAGTGCCACACAAAAATAGATGTGTCTGAGCAGGGCTGTGCTTCATTTGAATTGTTAAATGGCTCTGGCTTGCAAACGTTCACCCTCCACGGGTGATATCAAGTTAAACAGGGAGATTTGGCTTATAAATGCTCCTCTAACCACACAGGCAGGGCAAACACACAGGGAAAGTGGATCCAAGGAAAGCCCAACAGCAACTAAGGTTGGATTTCAAGACCTTTGTGTGGAGCGTAGCAGTTCAGGATCGGTTCGTGTTACGCTGGTTCCTTTGTTCCCTTTCAAACTTGTGGCCTCAGGGTTGGCCTTCCTGGCTTCTCAGATGTTTTTCTTTCCCCTGTTAGTGTTTGAAAACCCTGTGGAGACCTGAGAAAGAGGTGGTGTGGAGGATGCCAGGGAGGAGCTGACTTGCAGGAAGAGTTGTAAAATAAATACGGTCGCCTGTCATGTGGGTTTTCTTTGACTGTGTCTTGGTTACTCAGCCATGGAACTGTTTACTACAAGGCTTGGAGGCAAAATTATCTCTCCAAAATTCATCTAGAGGAGGGCTCCATTCACATGTAGAACTCCAGGAAAAAATACTTCCATATATGAGGTGGAAAAACCCCTCATCTCAGTAGTGATGTTGCCCTGAGTTCCTGGTTTAGATTCTGCCCCTGCCCAGCAGGATCTTGTGGGGTCAGATCTCAGAGTTCAGCCTCCAGCTTGTCCTTTGTTTTCACTGGAGCAGGGATGTCAAAGGTGCATCCCCTCCCAGCAGGCCTTAATTCTAGTTTTAATCTCATTTCAGCCCAGCTGTTTGGTGGAGCAGGTTCTTCTGACTCACTCGTGTTGCTCTAACCTGCTCTTTTCAGTTTAGTCTCTTAACACTTGAAGCTCTTGAGAAAGTTCCTGATCTCTTCCCTGAAAACCCTCAATATTCACTTGTTCTCAGCCCTCTTGAGGACGTTTGGACTTCTTTTTTTGTGTGTGTGTTTTTATCCCTCCTTTCCCCATGGGAGCAGCCCCACCGCTCTTGGCACCCGTGGCTTTGTCCCTCGTGGTGGCACAGCCAGGTCTGTGGCTCTGAGGGGGCTCTGGTGCTTCCCTGGGACAGTGCCCAGCTCAGCCAGGGGGCTGTGGGGGCTGTCTCAGTGTCTGCACTGCAGTGCTGGCTCTTCTGAGCTGTCACTGTATGGAAATCTGGGCAGGGAAAGGATCCTGAGCAGTCACTGTCCCTGCTTGGGATGTTCTGAGGTTCTGGGATAAACCATCACCTCAGCCCTTCAAGGGGTGTCAGTGGTCATTAATTACAGAGCTGCATCTCACTGTTCCCTCTCCTCTTCTTATCATCCTCCCCCAGCCTGTGCCATAGCAGAGGCTTCCAAAAAACACCCCTGGGAAAATGTTCATGTGGGGAGAGCTTTAACCTGGGAATTGTGGTGCTATCAGAGAGGTCTGCCCAGGTCACTGGGGTCAGGGCTGTGCTTCTTTCCAAATCAGACCTTTCTGTTCCTTCATTTCCACCTCTGAAGTGGTAGGAGCAGCCAGGATTTGTATTTAGCACCCTGGGAAATCGGGTGTTGGGCTCAACCAGAGCCTGGGTTTGGGTTCCCAGCAGGAGCTGTTCCCATCCCCAAGCCACTTGGTGAGCAGCTGTGGAATCTCCAGGGATCACAGGCACTGAGGATTCCCAGAGACCATTCCCAGGGTATCCCTGGGTGGGAGCAGGGAGGGAGGCACCTCTGGGATCTGAGGATTGAGCAGAGCCAGCCCTGCCTGGGTTCATCCCCTCTGTACTCCCCCAAAACCTTGCTTTGCTGTGGGACCAGGGAGCTGGCACAGCACCTTTGTCCCTCTCCAGAGGGAAAGGGAACAACGTTAACTCCTCTGTGTGTGTGTTTTTGTGTTCTTTGTCTGTTTTTAAGCTGGAAAGAGGTGACTTCCTCTCAGAAGAATGGAGGGAGAGAATTGCAAACACAAGGTACAGTACAGCCACTGAGTGCTGCTTTAGGAACTGGATGCTTGGGAGTTTGTATAATGGAAATTGGGAGCCTGGCCAGCTTTTTATATAGAATTTCCATAGCAAATACCAGTGGTTGATCTGCCAACTCCTATACTGGCCTCTTTAGATCCTGCTTTCTGACTGGAAGAATGGCTTTAAATGCATGTCCCATGGTATTGCATCCAAGGGTGTATCCAAGATAAATCCTAGTTGTACAGAGGAGCAGGAACCTCCATTTGTTCTGCATGTCCCTGTAGATCCTGTCAGGGATTCTGGCAATACCCTAATTATCTTGGCTGTGGGGGCTCACTTTCCCTTTAATAAAAAGCAAAGGGCCCAAGTGAGTCTGTTCCAACTTAAATTGAAAATTCATTTCAGCTAATTGTCTTGAAGGCTTATTTATGTGGAGAGCCGTGCAGAGAGGGTCAGGCTCCTCTTTTTTCATTTGAGGGAGCAAAAAGAGGGAGAAAATTTGTTAAAAGCCATAAAAGTCGTCTGTATTTTTAAAGCTTTGCATTCTTTCAGCCTTATGGGCAGAGAAAAAAACCACCAAAAACCGAAAAACACCCTCTTTATTTTTATATGACCTTCTGGGCCACCCTGTTATGTGGGGTATGGAAGGGAGTTGTCAGAGAGGGCTCTGAAAGCCTTCAGTTGTGGCAATTCCTGGACTGCTCCCAAGGGAATGGTTTAGGAGCAGCCCATGGAGGAGGCTGCTGACTTCTGCTTCGTTATGGGCCTTAATTCCTCCTGGAGGTGCCTTTTCATTTGGGGACAGGCTTGGCCTGGCCTTGCAGCTCCCTGGGGTTTGGCTTTGCTGCTTCTTATCCCAGGGGCAGCCTCCTCTGCTGCCTGGGCCACTTCCCTTCAGCTTAGGGAATGTTGTAGGGCAGTTTTGGGCTGCAGGAGCTCTGAGTGCACGGGGAGGTGCTGGCAGGTGTTTATTTTGGGTGATGATGCACTAATTGTGTATCTCAGTGCTCTCCCCACACCTCACCCTGCTGCAGAATCCCGGGATGGGCTGGGTGGGAAGGACCTCAGAGCCCATCTCATCCCCAGGGTGCTCCAGCCTGGATTTGGGCACTTGCAGGGCTGGGACAGCCCCAGGGAGCGATGGTGGGAGCAGGACATGGCTCCCCACACCCCAGAGCCACGTGGAACCAGCCCTGCAGGACCAGCATTCCCATGGCTGGGCAATTCCTGCCGGGATCAGGGAGCTCTGGGCCCCCCTGCCCTGCACGTGCACAGCGAGTGCTGGGCCAGGAGGAGCAGTGTAAACACACCCATCTGCAAGCTCTGGCTTCTCCCCTTCCTTTCCTGGATGTTTTCTACTCCCATTAATATGTTTGGCTCTTTTGCAAGGCCTCTTTTTTGGCACATGGGGAGGAGGAGGAAGAAACCCCTGCTGGCTTTCCTTGCCAGGCAGGGTTTCCCAAATTTCCAAGTGCAAGGCGTAGCAAGAAGAGCTTTTCTTTTTTTTTTTTTTTTTTTTTTTTTTCCCTTGGTGTATAAACATTTTCTTTTCATTGGTGGTTTTTCACAGCTTTGGCTGCTGCTCTTAAATTCCCTGTCCTTGTTGAACACATTTTGTGTGGGGAGGCTCTGGCAGGGGGGGTTTCAGACCTCTCACAAAAGAACCAGCTCTTCATGTGGAAACAAACATGCCAGAATGGAACCCTGGAATCTCCTGAGCTGGGAGGGACCCCCAAGGATCATCCAGCCCAACTCCTGGCCCTGCCCAGGACACCCCAACAATCCCCCCCTGTCCCTCAGAGCGTTGTCCAAACACTCCCTGAGCTCTGGGGTTATTTCTTTTCACTCTGTGGCATTTTGTGTTTCTCTCTCAAACACATTTATCCACATTTATTAACGCCTTTGTGGGGTTCTGGGCAGGTTTCTGTGTTTCCACATGATTTTTTGTTCCAGGAGCAAAACCCCCTCACTGGATTTTCTAACCTGGAAAGAAAGAACTGACTCCTCCCTTGGGGGTGAAGTGCTGGGCTTAGGACAGGGCAAACATTGCTCAGATGGCACTGTCTTATGGCACTACAGGGAATTTACAGCTGGAAGAGCAACAGGTTGTGGACTCCCCATCCCTGGAAGTGTCCAAGGCCGGGTTGGAGCAACCTGGACTCGTGGAAGGTGTCCCAGCCCATGGCAGGGAGTAGAACTCAGGAGCTTTTTAAGGTCCTTCCCAGCCCAACCCATTCCATGATTCTAAAACATATTTTGCTATTTTACTGTAATATTTTAAATGCAGGGGGAGAAAGTAACAGGATGAAGTGGGGCCTGTTGAATGGTTTTAAATGTAACTGCCCAGGCTGCAGGTAAAGCTGAGGGACCTTTTGGGTCCCTGAGCAAGAGGAAGGTGTTTGTTTGTTGGGCAGGAGCAGCTCTGTGGTTGTCACTGTCCCTGTGACACGGCTGGGGGTGGGGGTGGTGTGTTCTTGGCTCGCTGTTCACTCACCTGGCCTTTCCCTTGCAGTGTTATTTTTGTGAATAACTTTGCCTTCGGCCCCGAGGTGGATCACCAGCTGAAGGAGCGATTTGCGAACATGAAGGAAGGTAAATCCCTCGTGGAAGTGTTTTCCTCTCGGATTCCCGGTCCCTGTGGGAGCTGGGCTGGGAGAGGGGCTGTTCTGTGCCCTGGGGCCAAGTGTCTGCACACAGGGGTTATTTCTTGGGCTTTCTGCTTCCCACCTTAACACCTCCCTGGCTCCTTGGGGTGGGAAGACTGAGGAGCAGAGTTGGGCTGGGAGGAGCTGCTGGTCCTTCCTTACCTCCCATGGGAACCTACAAAGCAGGCAACAGCCAAGGCCAGGATTCCTGGATCCCTGGGAGTGTCCAAGGCCAGAATTCCTGGATCCCTGGGAGTGTCCAAGGCCAGGTTGGACAGGGCTTGGAGCCACCCTGGGCTGGTGGAAGGTGTCCCTGCCCATGGCAGGGGGTGGCACTGGATGGGATTTAAGGTCCCTTCCAACCCAAACTGTTCTGGGATTCTGTGATACTACTGTGTCCAGTCCTGGGCCCCTCATGACAAGAAGGACATTGAGGGCCTGGAGGTGTTCAGGCAAGAGAAGGAGGGGCTGGAGCCGCAGGAGCAGCTGAGGGAGCTGGGGGGGCTCAGCCTGGAGAAAAGGAGGCTCAGGGGGGACCTTCTGGCTCTGCAATCCCTGACAGGAGAGGGGAGCTGGGGGGGAATCGGGCTCTGCTCCCAGGGAACAGGGACAGGAGGAGAGGGAACAGCCTCCAGCTGTGCCAGGGGAGGTTTAGACTGGATATTATGGAATATTTCCCTATGGAAAGGGTTGTTAAGCACTGGAAGAGGCTGCCCAGGGCAGTGGTGGAGTCACCATCCCTGGGAGTGTTCAAACATCCTGGGTGCTCCTCTAGAAGTGCCACAGCACACTGGGGACACCCCCTGACCCCACCATGGCCCTGCCTTGGCCCGGGGTGTCTTTTCTCTTTGCTCTTAACCACTGGGACAAGCAGCAGTTTTGTTTGGCTGGGGCAGAAATGCCAAAAATAACTATTTCTGGAAAGAAAAATGTGTGGTGTGAGCAAAGAATCTGTGGCTTCCCATGGCACAGCTTTGTGCTGAAATAAATAATGGGACTTTTGGGCTCTGGTGCAAACCATAAAACCCCCCAAATTAAGCTGTTTTCTTTAATTTTACTGGTTTCTTTTATGATTTTTTTAAACTTCTTGAAGGGTGGCTTGAAAGCAGTGGCAAGCTGGGGATGGTGCAAGCACTTTTTACAGTGGGGAAACATTATTTCTCTTCCCAGAACGTGCCCAGGCTCTGCCTTGGGCTGAATGACCCCAAATACCCATGAAATGGAGATTATGGCCTTTGAATAAAAGGGCTTTGGGGGTTTGTGTGTAAAAGATCCCAACTAGGAAGGAGATAATTGAAATTTCTTCAGATTGCCACTGAGAACCCACGTGCTCTTTCTTTTCCAAGTGTGTTAAATCTGTCATTTTAAAGTGATCCTTGAGGTGTCACCTCAAAGATTGACTTTCTTGGAGACTGTCAGAATGAGAATTAGCTAATTTATTCTTTTTAATGATGTACAAGTGGTACTTTTATGGGGCTGCTCTTCAGGGCTCTGTACCAGGTTATATTTAATAAGTAGTTATTTCTAGAACAAACAGTGGGGCTGACTTTGCTTTTCTTTTCCTTTTTTTTTTCCCTTCTTTTCTTTTTTCCAGGTGGGAGAATTGTGTCCTCAAAACCTTTTGCACCTCTAAATTTTAGAATTAACAGTCGAAACTTGAGTGGTATGGTTGTCCTTTTTATTGTTCATTAACAGTTGGGGGTTTATTCATTATCTGAACGTGTCTGGGGGGGGATTTTGTTTCATTATCTGGGGTTTGTTGCTCTCGAGAGTTGTGTAAAGAAGTAGAAATGAATAAGTAGCTGAGTAAATAAGTAGAATTATTAGGGGCACAAGTGCCAAAGTGTCATGGATTTAAAACCAAAGTGTGTAAAAACCTCCCCCAGCACTGGAACAGACACTCTTGGTGGGGTTTGTGCTGCTGGATTTTGGTGTTTGGACCATCAGCGTGGCCCTGGCTGAGCAGCTGCAGAGCAATGAGGGGTTCAAGGGTGGGATTCTTTTCTTTGGCCACAAAGGAGCTGAAGGAAGTGCCAGGTTATGCTGTAGCTGATTAAACCTGGCCAGGTGAACCCCACCAGTCGTGATTCCTAAGGCTTGGAAGTTCTGGAGCCAGGCTGGGAGAACTGGGGGGGTTCAGCTGGAGAAGAGAAGGCTCCAGGGAGACCTGAGAGCCCCTTGCAGGGCCTAAAGGGGCTCCAGGAGAGCTGGAGAGGGACTGGGGACAAGGGATGGAGGGACAGGACACAGGGAATGGCTTCCCAGTGCCAGAGGGCAGGGTGAGATGGGATATTGGGAAGGAATTGTTGGCTGTGAGGGTGGGGAGGGGCTGGGATTGAATTCCCAGAGCAGCTGTGGCTGCCCCATCCCTGGGAGTGTCCAAGGCCAGGTTGGAGCACCCTGGGCTGGTGGAAGGTGTCCCTGCCCATGGCAGGGGGTGGGATGAGATGAACTTTAAGCTCCCTCCCACCCCAAACCATTCCATGAGAATTCCCCCCAGCGTTCACCTCTGAACTCCCCGTGTGTGAGCTGAGCAAACAAAGCTCCCCCTGCACCCCCCGGCCCTGGCTCCGCTTTGCTGCCAACAAACCTGTGTGCTTTTCTTCCCCTCTGAGCACCCCAGCCTCCAGGTTTGCCAGCGTTGCCCTTTGCAGGGACCTGACCTGCAGGTTTTTTGAGGGGTTAATGCCCCTTGGTGCTGGTTTTGCTTCTGAGCTGTTGGAAGCTTCCCTCGTTGGAATTGGGGTTGAGCTCTGCAGGGCCGGGAGTTGGACTCGGTGATCCTTGGGGGTCTCTTCCAGCTCAGCATGTTCCATATCCCGTGAAATTTCTCAAGGAAAAGAAGGATCCAAGCTGGGCTTTAACACATATTTACTGTGTCCAGTGCACAACATTCCCTAAATTTACCCCCCTTATTCCCCTCTCTGTGCAATCGTGGTTTGTAACTCCCTGAGTTCCAAATCTCAAGCTGTGCTTGCTTTTGGCCTCACACTCCCAAACTGCTTTTCAGGAACAGGAATTTATGGACTGTCATGAAGTAAACTGTGCCCTTGGGAGGCATTTTTATGAGGCTGGGATTGCTGTGGATGTCCCACTCGTCACACCCCCAGACCTGCCCTTTAAAACCCTTTTTTGGGTGCATCTCTTGGTTTTTTGGGCTTTATTAACCATTGGATTTGCCAGTCCTTTGGTACGTGGGCTGTGGATTCCTTGGGAATGTTTTCTAGAACACTGAATTTTAGATGTTAATGCTTAAAGGGAATGCTGCTGTTAAAATTATATAGAAATAGGTGATTATAGAGGTGGCTCAGCAAAAGGATGGATAACAACTCCCACTAGCAGGAAAATTCCAAGGATTCAGATAAAAGGACTTGGGAAAAAATGACCTTTGTGTGCTGCAAACTGGGGAAAATAGTGGGAATAAATTTTAGGTCTTAATCCCATCCTGTATTTGGGAAATGCCAATATCAAATGGAAATGTGCTGAGCCTGGGCCTTGTTCCATGGCCTGTCCTAAGTGACACTTCCAGGGAGATGTCCCCAGCCATGGCCAGTGTCCTGCACTGGAGGGAATGTCACTGGTGTCCTGATCTTAAATAATTTACAAAATGCAGTGGGGAAGAAAAGCTTTAAGAAACACCATTTCCCTCAGTCCCAGCTTTGTCCTCAGCAGTTCCATCTGGAAGAAGAAATGGAAATGTGCAAAGAGTTGGACAAACAAAACCAGGCATTAAAGTGTGGTTAAAACTGGGGTTGAGGTTGCTGGATCCCAAACCTCGCTTTTGGCCTCTTCTGGGTAATTTCTGTTTAATTAGAAGCATTCTGTGATTTCTCCACGGGCTCAGGGGTTGTGGGGATGTTTAGGGCACATCCCAAAGCTGTTAATTGTGGAGAGCAGAACAGAGGCAGGGAAGCAAACACAAACCATGTTTGTGCCCAGTCCAAACACAGTGCCCGGTTTCCAGGGGCTGGTGACGTCCTGGGGCCGGGTCTGTCCCTCTCAGCCCTCCTGGCACACGTGTGTGGTCCTGGAAAAGTTCCCTGAGCTCTCCTGTTTGCTGAAAGGTTGTGATTTCACTGGGTTGTGATTTCAGACATAAAAGGTGGTTTTCTATATTGTGATGTGGCAAGAGAAGAAAGAATTCCCTCTAAACTCACTGCAGGGCTTTTCTCTAGGATGGGAAACCCAGATTTCCCTTTGGTGGTGCCTGGTGGCTTCAGCTGAGCAGAACTGAGGCAGCTTTTCCCTTTCTTCCCACAGATATTGGCACTATAATGAGAGTTGTGGAGCTGTCACCCCTGAAGGGATCCGTGTCCTGGACAGGGAAACCAGTCTCCTACTACCTGCATACTATAGACAGAACCATAGTGAGTATGGGCACCTGGGGCAGCATTCCAGCTGCCCTTGGGAATGCTTTTCCTGGTGCTTTGGGGATTTACAGACCTCTAAGACACCTACAGGGAGTGGCTGTGCTTGGCCTGGCTGTGCAAACCACCCTGCAGGGCTTTGGCTGCTCCACATCCCCCCCCCATGGGTATGGCCAGGGCTGGGATTCACTGGAGATTCACAAATGGAATTCCTTCTGCAGCTCCTCACAGTCTTGTGCCAGAACTTCCTCATGGAGTGAAATCTCTGTGCTGGTTCCTCCCTGTGCTCTGTGCTGCACACACCATTCCATTTGGTCGTGGCCAACCAGTAAATCCCAGTTTTAGGACCAGCCCAGGCTCCACAACAACACTGATGCATCCACTGGGTTTTTTTTTGTCAATTAAACAAAAAACCGATTTCTTACTACCTGCATGGTACTGACTGAACCACAGTGAGTCTGGGCAGCCTGGAGCAGCATTCCAGCTGCCCTTGGGAATGCTTTTCATGGTGCTTTAGGGATTTACAGACCTGTAAGACACCTACAGGGAGTGGCTGTGCTTGGCCTGGCTGTGCAAACCACCCTGTTGCTCCACAGCCCCTCCTGGGTATGAACAGGGCTGGGAATTCCCTGAAGATTCACAGATAAAACCCCTTCAGAATCCTGATCTTGTTCTATCAGTCCCTCACTGAGTCCAGTCCCTGTGTCTGGTTCCTCCCTGTGCTGCACAAACCATTCCATTTGGTCCTGGCCAACCAGTAAATCCCAGTTTTAGGACCAGCCCAAGCTCCACAACAACACTGATGCATCCACTGTTTGTTTCTTTTTCCCCCTTCAATTAAACAAAACAAAAAAACCCTCCTATAAAAATGAAACCTTTTGTGGAGGAATCATTTATTCCACAGTAATTTTTATTTCCAATATGACTGTAAGGTTGTTTCCCTCACTCTGCTGGGCTCTAATAGTGCTTTTTGTTGAGGAATAAACCAGAGTGGAGATAAATCCTGGAGTACAAGGGGGCAGGGGAAATAACTCCCTTGCAGATTCCCCTCTGCTGAAGGGAGATATGTGACACAAAGCCTTCAAACAAGGCCAGCCAGTGCTGGAGATGATAAAAAACCCCTTGTAGAGGTTGGATTATGTCCTGTTACACAACAGGCTGCATGGCTGAAAAGAGTGACTGAAAATGGAGCTTATCAGGGGCAAACCAGTCAGAATTTCTGCACTTGTGCATTTGTTTTAAGCTGATATTTTATTCTGACGTGCTCAGCTGTGGTGGCTTTGAAAATGACTCTCTCCCCCTTTTCTTTTCAGCTTGAAAACTATTTTTCTAGTCTCAAGAATCCAAAACTCAGGGTAAGTTTCAATCATTCACTGTAGAAAACTCAAAAATGAAATAAAATAAAATAAAATAAAATAACTGGAGCAGCCACTGAAGGATTTGGTCACAGATGCCCAGATTGAGAGGAAATCAGATTTTCTTGATTAGGAGAGGGCAAGGAGCTGATTGAAGTGAAGCATCAGAGCCCATCAAGCACTAATTCAATTATGTTCCCTGGATTCCTGATGGGGAATTAATGGGGCAGCCTCCAGGTGCTCCCACCTTGCTCTGGGGGGCTCTGCTGAGCCCTTTCTTCATTAAAGGGCTGCAATTAAAGAAGGCAGGGATGGTTTGAGTCTGTCCCAGTGCCCTGGGACGTCCCTGCTGGGACACACAACGAGCTGGCATTAAAATGCCAGAGGATTTTGGGGATGTTAATCTGAAATAACCTGGGGCTGGAATTGCCAGGAAGAAAAATGAGGTGAGGTCACTTCATTAAAAACCTGAGGTGGGTGTTCATCTGCAGGACTGACCTGGTCAGAAATCAGGTGATTTCAGGCTGTTAAATTCAAATTTGGGGGATGAAAAAAGGACTTCTGGGAATCCAAACCCAAAAATTGGAGGGTGGCATCCATGAAATTCTGACTTTCCCTGCTTCAACCTGCCTTTCTCATGCTCTGGGTGAGGAGTTGGAATCTCCAGGATTCTTACACGGATTAAATCCCACCTGGAAGGGGCAGGAAAGGCTTTGACTGAGCTCTTGGAAATGTCAGGTTTGAAAGAGGGTTTTGGTTTTGTTTTTTTTTCTTTTTCTGAGAGAACAAGAGATTTTTTTTTTTTTTCTAAGAGAGGAAATTTCCTGTTTGCCTTGGAGAAAATCAACCTTAAGAGTTGCTGCTTTTGTTTTTTATTCATCCCCTGGACAGATGTGGTTAAAGGTGAATGGGATGATGAGTGATGGATTTGCCATTTCCAGATCTTTGTTCAGAAATTTTTTTTCCACATTTTTTTTCCCCCAAACGTCAGATTTTTAAAGTGATGGATCGAGACATGAAAAGTTGGGGATGTGGTAAAACTGCTGAAATATTTAATAATAATAAAAAATACAGCAAAAAACTCCAAAACCTGATACAGGGGTGGGATTGGGAGGGGAGAATATGGGGAGAGATTGGGATTTAATCCCTGGCTGGAGGTTTGGGGTAGGGAATGCAGAGCCTTCACCTCCCTGTTCCCAACCAGTGTTGGGATTTTAATATTAATTTAATATTAATTTAAATTACATTATTAAATGGAATATTTAAATTATATTTATATCGGCAATTATAAATAGAACACTATAAATGTAACCAATGTAAATTATAAGTATAAATACAACATAACTATAAATATATAAAATATAAAAATATATATTATGAACAGAATAGAAATAAAAACAATGCAACAATATAACATTTAAATTATATTAATAAATATAATTACAAACATACAAATATAATTTAGATATAAATTATAAACATGGATATAATAATAGAGATATAAAAATAGATAATATGTAGATAATTAAAATTGATTTGGCAGTTGAAATAATATAGTAATTTAATATTTAACTTAAATTTATAATAATAAATAAATCATAATTGTAAAGATATAAAATAAATATATTATTTATGCAAAATAAACATATTATAAGAATTATTATAATATGTTATATATAAGAATAAATATAATTACACAAATAATAATATAAATGTATTATACTCCAGAATATTTATAATTAAAATACTAAACATGTAATTTAAATAATATAATAATTAAACATTTATTTAAAAATAATACGTTTCCCCCCTTTCCTTATAGAAAACTGAGCTGGGAAACACAGTGATCTGTATTAAAAAGTGATAAATATGCACGATACATGTATCAAATATATATATATGTGTGTGTGATAAAGACAATTTATTGACTGAAATCCTCCCAACCTTTCCCCAGGAGGAACAAGAGGCAGCTCGACGGCGTCAGCAGAGGGAAAACAAGAGCAACACGACTACCCCGACCAAGGTCCAGGAGAACAAGGTGAGCCTCGGGAGCTTCCCTGCAGGGAACGTGTCCTGTCCGTGCCTGGCTCAGCTGGGGGCTCAGCAGGACACGGGGGGGCTCTGCCCTCAAACCCCAGCAGGGCCCAGACACGAGGGAGGGATCCCCAGGCTGCCCTTGGGAAGCTGGTGGGGGTGGATGGGGTGAATGTCCCCCCTGGGCTGTCCCATCACAGCCCAGCTCTGGGCTCAGCCTCTCCTGCAAACACCCCCTTCCTTCCTCGCTCCCTGGTGGAATCCCCCGGAGATGAGTGACTGTTCCTGCCCAAAAATACCCAGTACTGAGTGTACTTTGACTTTTAAGTGAAGTTCACTTGAAGGATTTAGTCAGTAAAGGATGAATAATCAGCTTTTCTCAGGCAACAGGTTCAGATTTAGCGGAATCCCAGGGTGGTTTTGGATTGGAAGAGACTTCAAAGCTCATCCCATCCCACCCCTGCCACGGGCAGGGACACCTTCCACTAGCCCAGATTGCTCCAACCTGGCCTTGGGCACTTCCAGGGATGGGGCAGCCACAGCTGGTCTGGGCAACCTGTGCCAGGGAAGAATTTATTCCCAATATCCCCCCCAAGGTTCCCCTCCCTCTTTCCTGTAATGACTAAATCCAGAAGAGAATGATGACAACTCCTTGGAAACAGCACTTATCCCAAGCGAGGCCACTTCACTGGCAGTTATTAAACTACAATGCATCAGTTTGCTTTCAGAAAGTCATTAAGGTTACAGGTATTAGGTATATATTATATATATATATATTCTGAGGTATTAAGTTTAAAAGCTGTTAAACACAGTCATTAACGTTTGCTTCGAGGTAGAAATGGCTTAAAGAGCTTTTGGCTTTTCCAAACCTCTCAGGATTCTGGTGCTGAGGAAGAAAAAGCTGCAGCAAACTCTGTCAAAAAGCCATCTCCCTCCAAGGCAAGGAAGAAGAAGCTGAGCAAGAAAGGAAGGAAAATGGCTGGGAGGAAACGGGGCCGCCCCAAGAAGATGAACCCGGCGAGCACCGAGCGCAAGACCAAGAAGAACCAAACTGCACTGGAACTTCTGCACGCCCAGACTGTCTCCCAGACATCTTCATCCTCTCCTCAGGGTGAGTTCAGGGGGGCTCTGAGCTCTGGTCCTTTATTGGTAGGTGCAGTTTGGTTTTGTGTCAGAAATTGCCCGTGCCCACCTGTCATGGGTTGGCCCTGCTCGAGTCACCAGAGCTGCTCCATCACTGCCCTCCACGAGTGGGCAGGGGAGGGAAAGTATATCCAGAGGTTCATGAGTTGAGATCCCTCACTGATCACCATCAACTTGGGGATATAAACTGAATTTATTACTAAAATCACAGCAAGATAATGAGAAGTAAAATAAATCTTAAAAACATCTTCCCTCCCTCACACCCCTCCCTCTCCTGGGCACGAGGAGATGGGAATGGGGGTCATGGTCAGTTTATCACAGATTTGTTGCTGCTGCTGCTCAGGGAGAGGAGTTGGAGTCCTTCCCCTGCTCCAGCCTGGGGTCCCTCCCACGGGAGACAGTTCGTGAACTTCAACGTGGGTCCCTTTCCACGGGGCCAGTCCTTCAGGAACAGCTCCAGTGTGGGTCCCCCACAGGGTCACGAGTCCCTCCAGCAAACCTGCTCCATGTGGGCTCCTCTCCCCTGGGGCTGCAGGTCCCTGCCAGGACCTGCTCCAGCACGGCCTTCCCAGGGCTCCCATCCTGCTGTGGCACCCCCTGCTCTGGGATGGGCTCCTCATGTGCTGCAGGGGAACCTCAGCTCCAGAGCCTGGAGCACCTCCTGCCCCTCCTCCTGCACTGCCCTGGGGCTCTGCAGGGCTGCTCCTCTCACATGTCCTCACTCTGCTCTCTGCCCCCGCTTCCATCTGCACAGTAACATTTTCCCCATCTTAAATGCATCATCCCAGAGGTGTTACCACCATCTCTGCTGGGCTGGGCCTTGGCCAGCAGCAGATCCATCCTGGAGCAGCTGGAATTGGCTCTGCCAGACAGGGGAGGAGCTTTTGGTACCAAACCCTGGCCATGCAAACCCAGCACAGTCCACAGCAAAGCTGCCCTCGGGACGGTGGGGACGGGGCTGGGATCTGTCTGGGGGTGCTTGGTGGAGCTCAGTCCTGGAGCCCACACTGTAAATGCCTGTAAAGCTGCTGTCCTTGCCCCAAACACTGACCTTAGGAGCTGAGGTTGTGTCTGTCCCTCTCCAGATGCCTACAAGTCACCTCACAGCCCATATTACCAACTACCTCCGAAAGTACAGCGGCATTCGTCCAACCAGCTCCTGGTGACTCCCACCCCTCCTGCACTACAGAAGCTGCTTGGTAAGGCTGATTCCCCACCTTGTTTGCCATGGGAACCCCTCCTTTGGGGTTCCTGTACATTCAGTAAGTCAGAGGGCTGATAATATCCACAGTGGGATGGGGTGCATGGAGCAGGAGAGGGATGAGCTGCTTCCCACCCTCCCCACATCCCTCGGCATCACCACGAGGTCCCTTCTGCTGCTGCCCAGGTTGCTGTCTTGCTTTGCATTTGCTCTTTGGCGTTGTTTCAGCTCTCATTCGGCCCAAAAGGCAATAAACTTGGGTTCAGGAGGAACCCAACCTAACTGTAAATGGAAATGGCTGGTCAGAAACCTCTTTGTTTGAAATGAAAAGCTTCTCTTGTAGTGAAATGGTGCAGTCTTGGGGAACACCACTCCATTTCCTCTGCAAAACTCAGAGCTAATAAATGAGGCGCTGTCTGAGATTTTGAGGCCACACAAAGGTGTGGTTGGAAGGAAAAACTTGCAGGGTGGTTTTTTGGGTCTTCTGGTGTCTGTCCCCTCCCAGCTATTTGTGCTTTGGCCAGTTTAGGATCCTCTTGGGGATCTGATATAATGGTCCTGTCTGTGTAGAGACCAAGGGCATCTGGGATGTCCTTAACTTGTGTTCTCTTGCTGTGGTGTCTTAGTTCTTGGCTGATTTCTTTCTGTAGAGAAAGAGGGAGGAAAATGGTGATTTAGAGGGACATTTGGTGGCAGGGTGGGGGAGAATGACACTTGTCTGGACTAGGCTTTGTTGCAGAAGTCTGTACACCATGTTTTGTGCAGCAGACTGGGCTTCATCCTGAGGGCTTCCATCCTTTAATGGTGGGAGGGCTGGGGGGAAGGAGGGGTCATTGCTGGAGATAAAGGATAATGAGAAGCCAAAAAGGGGAGAGGAACTTGGGTGTAGAGCTCATGGGTGTGTGTGGAGGGAGGAGGAGGAGGAGAACAGACCCTGTGTGTGGTGCTGGGAGGGGGAGGGTCTGAGCTCAGGAGGGTTTGGGCTCTTACAGCTCATCTCTTATTATTTCTGCTTACAAGGAACTCAAACCCCTCAGCTCCTCTCTGCTCATGCAAACACACCACTAACACCCAGCACCTCCCTCTGCCTGAGTGTGTTGTCATGGCTTCCACCAGTTCCTGTTCTAAGGAGCTGATGGATCCAAGAGCTCCCCTGGCACCAGGAGATGGATTTCCAGCATGTTCTAAATCCAGCTTTAATGGCTTGGCCTGACTTACAGTCCAAACCAAAAGAGAGCAAAGGAGGGGAGAGGTGGCAGGGGAGCAAACAGGGGTAAATAGGATTATTGCTCTTACTCTCTGTTGAAATTCATCATCTCCTGGTTTCTTTTGCAGACTCTTTTAAGATCCAGTACATGCAGTTCATGGCTTACATGAAAACCCCTCAGTACAAAGCAAGTCTGCAACAGTTACTGGAGCAGGAAAAGGTGGGTGTCCCTTTTAACCTTTCTAAACAAAACTACCAGACTGTGAAGTACCTTCAGTGTGGGGGAGAATGCTGGGGGTGGGAGCTGTGGAACTCAGAGCAGAGCTGCCCCAGGCCAGGGGGAAAGGCTCTGCCAGGTCCTGCTGAGGCTGAATGACTCTTTGGGCACCTCATGGCAAACTCTTTGTGTGCCTAAATCTGCAGCCTGGGAGAGAAACCCATCTCCTCTTCCCTCTGTGCCTTCCACCTGCTAAGGCTGACATGGAATCATGGAATGGTTTGGGTTGGGAGGGACCTTAAAGCTCGTTTTATTCCACCCCCTGCCGTGGGCAGGGACACCTTTCTCTATCCCAGGTTGCTCCTTTGATCCAACCTGGCCTTGGACATTTCCAGGGATCCAGGGGCAGCCACAATTGCTCTGGGCAACCTGTGCCAGGGGCTGCCCACCCTCCCAGCCAGGAATTCCTTCCCAATATCCCATCAAACCCTGCCCTCTGGCACTTTAAAACCATTGCCCCTTGTCCTTTCCATATCTGCCCATATAAGAAGTTCCTCTCCCTCCTTTTTATAAACCTCCAGGGCCTGGAAGGGGCTCCAAGATCTCCCTGGAGCCTTCAGTTCTCCAGGTGAGCACCCCCAGCTCTCCAGGCTCCAGAGCAGAGGGGCTGCAGCCCTTGGAGCATCCCTGTGGCCCTTCATTCATTTAAATTTACCAAGTCATGGGCTGGAATACATGGAAAGGCAAGGAAGGCCCTGGAGCTGGCAGTGGGATGGAACCACCAGCAGAGGGAGGAAATTCCCTGCCTAAACCCCTTCTTGTTTTGCTTTATCTCAATTCTGAATGTCTTATTTGCTTTATAAATTAGCCCTGATGAGAGAGGCTGTGCCTGGTGCTTCTGTGGAGGAACCTTTCCCAATAATGCCCAACAATAAACTTTGACTTCCACTTAAAACCTTCCAGGGCCTAAAGAGGCTCCAGGAGAGCTGGAGAGGGACTGGGGACAAGGGATGGAGGGACAGGACACAGGGAATGGCTTCCCAGTGCCAGAGAGCAGGGAGAGATGGGATATTGGGAAGGAATTGCTGGCTGGGAGGGTGGGCAGCCCCTGGCACAGGTTGCCCAGAGCAGCTGTGGCTGCCCCATCCCTGGGAGTGTCCAAGGCCAGGCTGGATCAAAGGAGTAACCTGGGATAGGGAAAGGTGTCCCTGTGGGGAACTCTTTCCAGTTGAGAGCGCTGTGCCACCTTGTTCCTCACTGGGCACTGGTTGATGTGATGTGGTGTTAGTGCAGACCTTTCTTCTGGGCTTGTTTCCATTTGGTTTCCCAGTCCATCAGCACTTTGAGTTTTCCTCTTTTCCTTCACCAGCAGATTCTTCTGCTTGATCTTGTCAGGAGAGTCAGCATGAAGTGAAGGGGAAGGATGGGCTGCAATTCTTGTGCCCTACACTGAGAAAAGTCACCACTTGTGTGTGTGTCCAACAGCTGTTCCATACTTTTAAACATTAAAACGAGGAATTCACTATGAAAATGTTTTTTTCATGGCCAATTAAACCTCACAGAGGCAGAACTGGGCTGGCTGAGGGGCTGTGATGGGGTTTATTCAATAACTCCCCCTTACAGGAAGGGTTTGAAGTACAAGAAAAATGTCTGTAATAATGATTTTAAAAGGAGCTGCTGGTTCCCAGAGTGCCCTTAGGTGGAGCTGTCAGTCCCTGCATGGCCTGGCAGGGCTGAAGGGAGTGTCTGATGCTGAAAACAGAGATGCACATGAGGAACTTGCCAGCACTGCTCCTTCCCTGCTTGGGGTCACAGTCAGGGCATCATTAAAGCTGGGAAAGATCAAGGTGATTTTTGCCCTTGTCCTCCAGTTTTTTGGGATCAGAGGCTCAGTGCCTGCCCAATTCCTGCTTGGCATCAGCAGCACAAGTTGGAGAACAGGGGGGATCTCTTTCCTTGCTGCCTCCTCCTTTTTCCATCCCTGCATAAATGAGGCTCTTCAGCCAGTCCTGTCCTGCTTTTTGCTGCTCACACAGTGCCTGGCCATGGAATGAGGGAGCAGGAATGTTCTGGGCAGGGAATGTGCTGTGAGTGGGTCGGGTGACCCCCTGAAGTTATTGTGGCACAAGCAGTAAAACTGGTTGGGCTTATTTACGACTTTCTTCATGCCTCCCCCTCCGTGTATTTTCATTTACTGCATCTCTTCCCTGAGTGTTGTGCAGAGAAAATGAACTGGGGCTCTGGGGATTTAGATCCAGTTCCCAGTTTGGTAACAGATTTCATACAGATAATCCTTCCCACTTCTATTTCTGCCCTGGGTGATGTGATTGTTGCTGCTGCTTTACAGTGCACTGGGAGGATAAAAATGAGTTTTTAGGCATTTCTTGGTTGTGTTTTACCACAGAGCAGGAAAAAAACCTTCTGGAAAGCTGTTTTCAGCTGACTTAACTTCCTCAGTATCTCACACTAACAGGTGGAGGGTCACAGGGGGCTGAGCTGGGGGAGCTCCTCAGAGCTCCAGTTCACTCCCAACATGCTACAAAAAACGGGTGTAAACATCTTACCGAGGTGGACTGTGCTGCAGTTGGGGCTAAATGAGTGTTTCCTCACTGTTGCCTCCTGCAGGAGAAGAATGCCCAGCTCCTGGGGACAGCACAGCAGTTGTTCACCCACTGCCAGGCCCAGAAAGAGGAAATCAAAAGGCTCTTCCAGCAGAAGCTCGATGAGGTAACGCTGGGCTGGTGGGACTGGAGCTCTCCCTCAGCTGTTTACAGACATTTGGGGTAAAGCTGAACAGGACCAGAGCAGTCTCAGCCTTCAGCCTCTGGTTTGCAGCAGATCAGGCTCAGAAATGGGGGATCTGTGTCCCTCTCTGGCTGTGTCCTGTCCTCGTTGTTGGGGTTGCTGTGGGTCACTCTGTGTCCAGGGGAAGGGGGGACAGGCCACAGACATGGGATGATCAGTGAAGGATTCACCCCCTGCTGCTTGAACAAACTCTGTGTTGCCAGTGCAAGCTCAGAAGGAAATGTGGGGGCTCTCCACAAAAACAGTATTATTTTGGCTTCCTATTTTAAAGTTGAGTGGTTGGAACATTCAACAAGGTACTTCTGTCCTTCCTTGGTGTCCCTGAGCAGTGACAAAGAGCCTTGGAGAATGTTCCTGTGAGCTGCCCAAGTTCTGCAGATCATCCCAGATCCACTCTGGAACGGGACAGTTGCCTGGAATTACTGACTGATCCCTTCTCACTCTTCATCCTGTAGTTGGGAGTGAAAGCTCTGACGTACAACGACCTGATCCAGGCTCAGAAGGAAATCTCTGCTCACAACCAGCAGCTGAAAGAACAGACCAAACAGCTGGAGAAGGACAACAGTGAACTCAGGAACCAGAGCCTGCAGCTGGTGGGTACAGCCCATGGTCTGAGCACTGGGTGATGCTGCTCTGGGTGCAGGACAGGGGATGGCTGGGGGGCTGAACATCCATCCACCCTCTGTAACAGAAGAATTCAGGGGGACCTTTTTGGGGTGACTTTTAATTAGCTCTGAGCAAATGCTGAGGTGACAGCTGGCTTTGTCCCTGAACAGCTCTGTGTGTCCCTGAACAGCTCTGTGTCCAGGGCTTCCTTGGGCCAGAACTCTGGGGGTGTTCATCTGAGGGGAGGAGGTGAAAGGTGTGTTTTGATGTGTTTGTCCCCTGTCCCTGCAGCTGAAGGCTCGGTGTGAGGAGCTGAAGCTGGACTGGTCGACGTTGTCCCTGGAGAACTTGCTGAAGGAGAAGCAGGCGTTGAAGAACCAGATTTCTGAGAAGCAGAAGCACTGTTTGGAACTGCAGGTAGAGAGCAAGAAACAAAATCACCAGCTGGGTGACCTCTTGGGCACTGGGGCAGTTAGGGGTGTTACACTAAAGATGGTGGTAAAGGATAAACCAGGGGCTGCTTTTTTTACCCTTTCTCCCCCTTTTTTCCCTTTCTTTTTTTTCTCTTCTTTTCTTTATTGTTCCAAAGATTAATCTTTCTGTTAAGAGTATTTTAGGATAATTTTTAAAGGAAGTAGATGCTGTGTCCTGATTCCTGGGTAGTGCAGTGGAAGAAGGAATCATGGTTTACAATCACATATAATTAAAAAGCATGACTTGATGGAAAGAAAGGTCCTGGTTGGTTGAATGTGTGGGTTGATGTCTCAATTTAGGAATAACAGAATGGTTTGGGTTGGAAGGGACCTTAAAGCCCATCCAGTTCCATCCCCTGCCATGGGCAAGGACACCTTCCACTAGCCCAGGTTGCTCCAACCTGCCCTTGGACACTTCCAGGGATGGAGTGGGAATCAATTCCCACAGAATGGCACTTGCCATAGTGACAAGAAATTGAACTCCTTTCTGTGAAGAGCTTTTCCTTCCCTGTGAAATTGGCTCTAGAGCTACTCCAGCCTTTTGCTGGATGCCTCTGCATGGGGTGACTTTTCCCTTCAGTGCCTGGCAGTACTGAGTTTCTCTCTCTATAAATATATATATTCTCTATATGTTAAGTTGGAGATGTTTTATGCTTGGTTTCAAGATCTGACAAGTTCTCTCCCAGAGCCTCTGAGCCATTCCCCTCACCTGGGCCTTTTGCTCTAAAGTAGAAATTAATGTCTCAGATTTTGGGTCCCCTTGTTCTGCCTCGTCCCCAGAAACGGGGACACTACCTGAGAAGCAGGTGGAGGCAGAGCTCCACCACGTGATAGAATTGCTGGGAGTGGTCTTTTAATCACTGTTGCTCTTCTTTATTTCAAGATCAGCATCGTGGAGCTGGAGAAGAGCCAGCGGCAGCAGGAGCTGCTGCAGCTCAAGTCGTACACGCCATCAGAGGAGCCGCTGCCGGTGCCGCTGCACGGCAAACCCCACCTGAGCCGGGACCCCGAGGCCGAGCAGGGCAGGTTCCAGCTGGAGCTGGAGTGCTCCAAGCTGCCCCTGCCCCACGTGAACGGCATGAGCCCCGAGCTGTCCATGAACGGCCACGCCACCCCCTACGAGCTGCAGCACGCCTTCAGCCGGCCCTCGTCCAAGCAGAACACCCCCCAGTACCCCTCCTCACACCTGGAGCACGACATCGTGCCCTGCACCCCCAGCCACGGCAGGCAGAAGGCAGACAAGGTGACCAGCCTGGCCCTCCCGGACTACACCAGGTTTTCCCCGGCTAAAATAGCACTAAGGAGACACTTGAACCAAGACCACGGGGTCAACGGGAAGGCGGCGGCCAGCGAGATGCAGAGGTGAGGGGGGAGGGTGGGAAAGTGTGGGTTTTAATGGCACTCTTTGTTTGGGATTGTCCAAAACTGTTTTCAATTTTTTCTGTATTTTAAAAAGCTCTGTTTGGAGAAAGCAAACACTTATGTCAATTTATGGGGTAAATAAGGTGGGCTTTGAGTTCGGTACAAGGGAAAAGTTGTTAGGTTTTTTTGTATCCTGTAATAACTGTGTGTCTCCATTCCAGAGCTGAGCATGTCAAAGAGAATGGCCTTACCTATCCAAGCCCTGGAATTGCAAATGGCATAAAGCTGAGTCCTCAGGAAACTCGGCCCTCTTCCCCAGCGGCCTTACCCAGTGCAGGAGAGAAGGTGAGGGGTGGGCTCCACCCTGGCAGGACAGGGGGAGGCTTGGCAGGAGCAGGGAAGGCAGGAATGCTGCGTTCTGGGGCCAGCTGGGCATGGGAATGGCACAAAAGGCAGCAGGTGGGGTGGTGCAATAAAAACAATAACAAACTGGAGTTGGTTTGGGGAAGAGAGAGGTGTGGCTCCCTCTGAAGGACTGGTTTGCAGTAAAGCAGTGGGGCTATTTGGACCTGGCAGTGTCTGCTTGAATTTGCAAAGTCCTTCTTAGTTATAAAAAGTAACAAAAGAATGGTCCCTGTAATTGGCCCAGGCCTGGATCACACTGGGCTCATTTCAGAGCAGCAGGTGCCTCCAGCAGCAGGTTGGTTTCCATGGAATTGCCGTGGCCACTCCAAGGGGCTCGGGGTAGGAATTCTGTCATCTTTCCATAGAGCTCTGACCGAACCACAGGGAAATGAGCTCCTAAGGCATCCTTTTCCTGAGGCTTGGGGAATGAGTGGCTTGAATTCCCATGTTTCTGTGCTGTTGCATTCCCAGGAGCCTGGTGCTCCTCCATCCCCACCCTGCCTGTGCTGATTATTGCCAGAAGGAGGGGGAATGACACAAAGGCAGGGACAAGCAGGTTGTCACGAGCTTTTCGGCAATAACACCCGAAAGAACTTGGCTTTTTTCTGTTTGATTTACAGGTTTTGAGAGAGAGAACCTCTGTGAGTAATGGAGAAACTATCACCAGCCTCCCTATCAGTATTCCTCTGAGCACAGTGCAGCCCAATAAACTCCCTGTTAGTATCCCTCTGGCCAGCGTAGTCCTACCTAGCCGTGTTGAGAAGGTGGTGAGTAAGGGATTGTCAACACTTTCCATCCCTAAGTGGGCAGGAATGGGGGTGCTGAGCCCCAGGAACCTTCACTGGGCTCCTCCTGGCTGTGTGACCCTCGGGGGAGGCTGCTGGGGCTGCTCTGAGCTTCTGTAGGATTTCCCTCTCTGGGGTTGGGGGGGATTTCAGCCAGGGAGGAAAGGGAAGTGAAAGCCTCAGGGGATCCTGGGCTCGAGTGTCTGGCTGGGTGGAAAAGCCTGAGAGGGGCAGTGGAAGCAGAGAAGTGCACGTGGCAGTTTGTTCTCAGCCCTTCTGTCATGCAGGAGCCTGGGAGGGGAACGTTCCTGCCTCAGTCAGTCACCTCAGGGCTGTTTGTCCTCAGCACACGTGTGGAGGATGGGCTTGGACAGCCCCTTGGGGCTGTGTGAGTGCCTGCTCTGCAGCACAGAGCTTCTGGGGCCATCTCTGTTTGACCTGTGACAAATCCGTGCCTCTCTCAGTGGAAGAGGGATTTAAAATAGTCCAGTTTGCCCCACAAGTGTTGCAGGTGCTGTGAGTTCAGAGTCCATCCATCCCCAGGTGCCTGCCTTACAATCCCATAGTGGGAGAGCTGGGCTCAATTCACGGTGCTGAATCCATTACGTTTTTCCAGCTGAAGACTCCTGGTTTTAGCAGAACCACTGCCTGCCCAGCCTGTGTCCTCAGAGACAGAGAACAGCAGCCCTGGGTGGCACCAATCCCTCCAACATTGTTGGGTCAGGCTGCCACTTCACAGGAGCTTTCCCTGCTTTAGGAAACCCCCCCAGGGAGTGTCCCAGAGAACGTGGCCTGACACACTCCGTGCTCAGGGTGGGGTTGTTTTGGGGCACTTGGTGTGGCCAGGCCTGGGGACAAGATACACAACCTTTGGGTTCTGCCCTGCTGCCTGTGAAGCAGAGCAGTGGGATGAGGCATTCCTGCTCTGATGGTCCCTAAATATTCTGGGATGCTGAGCCTGGCCTCCCTCTCTGCACGGGGTCTGCTGTGTGCTGCCCACCACTGCAGTGTAATTCACCCCAATATTTCTGTCCCACAACGTTCTGATCTGCCTTTTCCTCCAAACAATCCCTAGGTAGAACCAGTGCATGTGAACGTGGTTGAAACTGTTGATTTTGTTGCTGTTTGCTGTACTGAAATGCCTTGTTTCTCTCCCCAGAGAAGCACACCTAGCCCAGTTCATCAGAGCAGAGACTCAGCAACACTTGAAAAGCAGATTGGTGCTAGTTCTCATAATGGCATAAGCAATGCTGCTGGAAACAAGCCTCTGGCTTTGGCTACCTCAGGTAACACCTCACCTGTGCACAGGTGCTCTCGTGTGGGGACGGCTCCCAAGTGCTCCCAGCTGAGTTTTCCCAGTGCTCCCTACCAGCTCCTTCAGGCAGTGCTGGGTGAAAACATGTGTTCTGGGGCCCAAAACTCTGAGAGCCAGCACCCCTGGGTGATGCTCTGAGGCAGGATGTGCCCCCAGCTTGGAGGCATCTGGGATCAGGGGTTGGGCTGAGGTGCCTTTGGCTGAGCTGCTCCTGTAAACTCCGTGTGGAGCGAGAGATTCCCACCTTCACAGACCCCCAGGGTATTGCCCAGCTGGGCCAGGAGCTGGTGGGCTGGCTCTAAAAGTTGGATTTTACAGGGTGTGTGTGTGGGGGGGGTTAATATCAAAATGAATTTCTCGGTGAAGGTTAAAGAGATGCCTCATGAGCAGTTGTAAAGGCACAGGTGCCTGGGGAGGAAGAAGTCGAATGGGAGAGGACTGGGATGCCTTTGGGGGCAGACATTGCTGCTGAACTCACTCATCTGTGGGGATTGTGGCCTTCAGGGAATGGGGTTGGCCAGGAAAAGTAGGTTCTAGGGTACAGAAGTGATTCTACAGCTGCTCCCTCACCAGAGAGAGCTTTGGTCTCAGAGTTCACCACCCCCAGGGGCTTGGGTTGTTTTAGCATCTGCTCTGCAAAAGGGCTTGGCTGCACTGTTCTGTAAATCCAGTGAAGTGTTAAAAACCCCTTGTTGTAAACCATTACCATGTTCCCACCCACCCCTTTTATCCAGAGAGCCCAGGCCTTACTTGAGCACCAAACCCATGCATGGCACCCCCTGGCAAATCCTGAATTCCCTTCCCAAGCTCCATCCTCGGCACTTCCCGAGCTGTTTACCTGGAGGAGCTGGGCTGTGTGCATGGCAGAGCCCTTCTGCTTGGGGAAGGAGAGGGCTGAGCTTGGCCATCTCTTTGAGGAAAGGAAGGAGTGGAGAGTGGAGGAGCCCTGATTTCAGGAAATGTAATAATCTAAACAAAACCTGCGCTTGAATTCCGTTTAAAACTGGGGAGAGCAGAGGAGACCTCCACATAAGAGGAATTTTGCAGGAGAGCAGTGCAAGTCCCTGACCCCCAAGTGGCAGCTGAGCACCCCGAGCCACGTTGTCAGTGCCCTGTGGAGCAGCAGCCGTTGTGTTCCCGTGTAATCCACGGCCCTGGCTGGAGTCTGGAATCCCTCCCAGCCCCGCAGCACGGTGACCTCTGGCTCAGCCCCAGCAATGATCTATACTTTCCCTTTCAACAGGTTTTTCTTACTCTTCTGGCTCCGTGGCAGTCAATGGAACTCTTACAAACAGCCCAGCCCATCTTAACCATAGTGTTGATCAGGCAGCTCTGGACGACTCTGGGAGTCTCTTTAACTCTGTAGGGTCTCGGAGTTCCACCCCACAACATCCTTTGCTAATGATGCAGCCGAGGAACTCTGGGCAGAGCTCCCCTGCCCAGCAGCACTCGGCGAGCCCCAGGCTGAGTGCCCAGAGCCTGGTAGGGGTTTTGCAGTTTGCAGATGCTCAGAAGATCTTTGCCGAAGGAACAAAGGGGGACCTTCAGTCTGATGCAGATCCTGAGACCGAGGCCAAGAGAAGAATCATCTTTACAATCTCTCCTAATACAGGACATGTAAAACAATCCCCTCCCAGCAAGCACAGCCCTGTGCCCGCGGGCGCTCGGCTGGAGCTCGGCCAAGCCCACGCCCAGGACGGGAAGAAGCGGGGCCGGAGGAAGAGATCTGGGAATCTCAGCGGGAGCTCCGGGGTCTCCCCGAAGCGCAAATCCCTCCCTGCTGTGTCTGGGCTCTTTACGCAGCCGTCGGGGTCACCCCTCAACATCAACTCCATGGTAAGAGCCCTGCCCTTATCCCTCATTCCTTCTCAGAGTTAGGGATAAGCTCCAGCCGTGTTGGAGCTGGAATGGGTGTGAAGGCTCTCTGGGAATTGCTGCGAACTCGGTGAGCAGTTTGAGCATCTTGCAAAGAGTTCTGCGCTGCCAGAGCCTTAAAAATTCAAAATAATCTCTTCCCTCGTGACAAAGAGCTCGTTTCTGCGCTGAAGTTGATATTTAGGCTGCAGAGTCAATATTTTGAAAATAGTTTAAGCTAAGATTGACTAAACAGCCTAGGAGTGCCAGAAGCATATGGCATTCTTGCTAATGAAGCCAGTTATAGAGCTGTGCTCGTGTGATCCTGCAGTGCAGTTTGAAAGGGAAAGGATTATCCTGTGTCTTCATTTCTGCCTTGAAACATGAAATCAAAGGATGAAAATTAGCAGTTTTTCCAAGGTGTATTTGGCCTTTCACCCCAGGTTCTAATGCAGGAGGGGGGATGTAGTGCTAAAGAAGCAGCTGTTGCATGTCCTAGAGCGAGTTAAACCTGCCTTTAATACCCTTAACAAGATGCCTTGTTTCCAAAGGGATGCTCTCACCTGTAACTCCTCTCTTTCCTTCTTGCCCAGGTCAATAACATTAACCAGCCCTTAGAAATAACAGCCATTTCCTCTCCTGAAAACTCCCTGAAGAACTCTCCTGTTCCTTACCAGGACAATGACCAGCCCCCCGTGCTGAAAAAGGAGAAGCCCCTCGTTCAGACCAACGGTGTCCATTACTCCCCCCTGACATCGGATGACGAGCAGGGCTCTGAGGATGAGCACAATAGCAGCAGGTGAATGCCCAGGCACAGCTCCAGCAGGAGATTTCTCTGAGCTGATAACACTGCTCTGAACTGGAGGGCTGTGTTAAGCCTCTTTGTTCCCTTGGCTTGGAGACCCGGTCGATTATCCCGAGCCTCTTACGTGGAACAGGGAAGGTATTTAGGCAGCAGAGCTGGGATGTGGGAACCTGCTGCTGCTGTGTCTGCAAGGCTGGCAGGGTCTGGCCTCTGGGAGGACTGGTGTGGAAATGGTTTGGGGAAAGAGAGGAGACTGAGGGGAGACTCCTCAGGGGCTGCAGCTCCTCCCGAGGGCAGGCGGAGGGGCAGGCGCTGAGCTCTGCTCTGGGACCAGGGACAGGAGCCAGGGAAGGGCTGGAGCTGTGCCAGGGGGGCTGGGATGGATCTCAGGGAAAGGTTCTTCCCCCAGAGGGTGGTGGGCACTGCCCAGGCTCCCCAGGGCAGTGGGCACGGCCCCAAGGCTGCCAGAGCTCCAGGAGCGTTTGGACAACGCTCTGAGGGACAGGGGGGATTGTTGGGGTGTGCTGGGCAGGGCCAGGAGTTGGACTGGATGATCCCTGTGGGTCCCTCCCAGCTCAGGATATTTTATGGTTTTGTGATTTACTTACTGGGTTGCCTGGGAGGAGCACTGAGGTTGTGTGTGATCTCTAAGGATGTTTCCCACTTACTCTCAGTTTGAAGCTTTGTTCAAAATTCTTCATTTCCTGCCCCAAACTATTGATGTTTTGCTCTGAAAATCAAATAACTTGACCCCCTTTGCTTGCCTGGGGGTACAATTTTTTCCTTGTTTAAGGTGCTGGAAAATTGGGTTTAAATTGCCAGAGGGCAGGGTGAGATGGGATATTGGGAAGGAATTGTTCCCTGTGAGGGTGGGGAGGCCCTGGCACAGGTTGCCCAGAGCAGCTGTGGCTGCCCCATCCCTGGAAGTGTCCAAGGCCAGGTTGGATCAAAGGAGCAACCTGGGCTGGTGGAAGGTGTCCCTGCCCATGGCAGGAGGTGGCACTGAGATGGGCTTTAAGGTCCCTCCCAACCCAAATGACAAATAACCACTCCAGAAACGTGGTTCTGCTTCTTATTCTGAAAGAAACGCAGCAATGAAGTCCTCTGAACGTGCATTAATCTTGGCAAAGATTCTGTCATAGCTTTTTACTTTGTGAGGGTAAATGTGCAACAGAAGGTTTGCAATAAAATGCTTTAACCTTTATTGTTTTCCCACTAGAATTGAGAGGAAAATTGCAACAATATCATTGGAAAGCAAATCTCCACAGAAGACTGTTGAAAATGGTACGTGAGGGGAGTGTCAATTGTTTGTGGTGATGGTGGTGGGACCTGGGGCTGGGTTTGTGCCCCTGACTGAAGCTGCCAGTCAGCAGCAGGTTTCTCTTTGCTGCTGGGCAGACTGAAGTTCTTAATTATAACTGAGACAGGTGGCCAGTAATTAGAGATTTTGGGTCACTTCTTTCTGCAGTCACAGGTCACCAAAGGTCTGACCACTGTTTTCAGTGATGCAGGGTTTGGGGAGGGGTCTGTAGGACAAAGGCTGAGGGAAGAGTAGATCAGCATTCTCAGACTTTTTCAGAGCAGTAAGGGGAAGGTTAAGAGCTCTTAGCTGACTTCACAGTTATTTCTGCCTTTGGATCAGACTCATAAAATGTGGGTGTTGAGAGATAAAAAATGTGGGTGTTGCCCAGGGAAGGGAAGGGAGCTGGGAAGGGACTGGAGCAGCAGGAGCAGCTGAGGGAGCTGGGGGGGCTCAGCCTGGAGAAAAGGAGGCTCAGGGGGGACCTTCTGGCTCTGCAATCCCTGACAGGAGGGGGGAGCTGGGGGGGTTCGGGCTCTGCTCCCAGGGCATGAGGGACAGGAGGAGAGGGAACGGCCTCAAGTTGTGCCAGGGGAGGTTTAGATTGGATATTAGGGAATGTTTCTCCATGGTTGTAAAGCACTGGCACAGCTGCCCAGGGCAGTGGTGGAGTCACCATCCACAGGAGTGTTCAGACATGCTGTGGATGTGGCACTTGGGGACAGGGGTTGGTGGTGACCGTGGTGGTGGTGCTGGGCTGGTAGTTGGACTCGATGATCTTAAAGGTCTTTCCAGCCTCAATGATTACGTGGGTTTATAAAACCCTGTTCCCAATGAAAACTGAGCATTGAATGCCTTCAATCCAGTGAACGTTGGTTTTTGACCTCCCCAAAATCTTCTCCCCGGCCCAGGCGGCAGCTTGAACGGGCGGAAACAAGCACAAGGCACCGAGAACATGAACAGCAGCAAATGGAAATCGACTTTCTCCCCGATCTCTGACGTCAACCTGACCAAAACCACGGACAGCCCCTTGCAGACGGGCTCTGCCCTGAGCCAGACCTCGCTGTTCGCCTTCCGGCCGCCCCCCGAGGAGGGCCTGGCCCTGGACGGCGCCAAGGCCGCGGCGCACGCCAGGAAGGGCCTGGCCGTGGGCTCGGACGGGCTCAGCCCCGGCACCAACCCCTCCAACGGCTTCGCCTACAACGGGGGCCTCTCTGCCGAGCTGGGCCTGCACAGCTTCATGGACGGCGCTGCCCTCCCGCACAAGGCTCCGGACGGCGCCGCTCCCAACTGCTCCCTGGGCTTCCAGCGGGGCAAAGACGCGGCGGCCGCGGCGGACACCAACCTGTTCCTGAACAAGAGGCAGCTGGAAGGGCTGGGCGGCTCCAAGGGGGACGAGCTGAGCCGCCCGGGGGCCAAGGGCAAAGAGCTGGGCGAGCTGAGCGGCCGCGCGGGGGGCTCCTCGGAGAAGAGCTCCCTGCAGCACAACGGGAAGGCCGGCAAGGGCAGGGACCGAGAGGTGGAGTTCAAAAACGGCCACAACCTTTTCATTTCTGCTGCTGTTTCGTCTGGTGGCCTTCTGAACGGGAAAAGCCTTTCCACTGCTGTTTCTTCAGCAGGCAACCCAGCGTCTTCTGTCCCGACACACCACCCCTTCCTCAACACTCTGACCACTGGATCGCAGTTCCCCCTCGGCCCCATGGCCCTGCAAGCAAACCTCAACTCGGTGACAAACTCCTCAGTATTGCAGTCCTTATTTAATTCCATGCCAGCTGCTGCCAGTCTGGTCCACGTGTCATCAGCTGCAACCAGACTGACTAATTCTCACACTATGGGGAACTTCTCTCCTGGGGTTACAGGTGGAACAGTTGGAGGTAGGCAGAACTCTTTCTCTGGTATAAGGCAGGGCCTAAAGGAAAGCCTGACACTGCCCCTCCAGGGGTGAAACCCTTTCATTTCTACAGGATGTGAAGCAGATGTGTCCCACATAAGCGGTCTCCTCTCTCTCTGTCTCTCTCTCTCTCGGATTTGCTAGGATGAGTTCAGTTCCCCACAGTGAAGTCTCATGAGCTTTGTCTGCTAGATGAGCTTGTTGTATCACCCTAATGAAACAATGCACCCAGACTTTGTGATTGCTTATGTTTGCTTGTTCAGATGTTGCTGTGTTGGAACCAACTTAGGTCTGACTGCAGGTAACAGATTTCACTTGTCGTGGTACCGAGTTAAGGATCTCTGACTTGTGAACTTGAGGTTGGGATTAGGCCTGGAGTGGATTTAGCGTGATCCAGGAGGAGCAGAGCATCAGAGGAGATGGTGTTGGGAGTTTCCTAGCAGTTCTGGCTCTTGAATGGACACGAAGAGCGTTTCTTGGCCAGGAAGGGCAATGCCATATGCACCTTGCACTTCTGGGATTCTGCACAGGCTTGGCTTCTGTGGCCCACACCGGGGACAAGCTGGCAGGACCAGGAGATAGGCTGGACCTGCCGTTTCTCAGTGTCCAGGGCGGTTTTCCTTACCTGTCCATGCTCACTCAGGCTCCATGTCGGGAAATCCTAACTCTCCCCTCTCTCAGCACGTAGATTGGCTGCAGTGACAGCTCCCCTCTGCTGCCCTGTAAGCTGGGGGAGCAGGAGGGTGGGGAGGCAAGAGCAGCACTTTGAGTCTCCAGATAAACCAACTCTAAAAGACCACGTAATCTCATCCCAACCCTGCCTCTGTGCTGTAGAACTGACAGTTCTTGGGGCTGACCATTTTCCCTCGTGGCATTTAGAGGTTGGCAGTAGGAAAGGTAAGTGGACTCTTTTGTACCTCCTGGCCTGCACCATTATCTCCCATCGCTTGCTGCCTTCTCACGCTGCATATTTTTGTATGGGGCTGGACCATTATAATTTTGCTTTATTTATTTTTTTTTAATTAATTTATTTTTTTTTTTTTGCTTCTTTGTTTGGTTTCTCTTGTCACTTTGAGACTGTACAAAAGCCCGTCTTGTTGAAGCTGAGTTTTTCTTCTCCTGTTTGCAGGTATTTTTAACCACGCGGTGCCTTCTGCCTCCTCCTCTCATCAGTTTGGAGCCAGTTTCAGCAGCAGTGCTGTCTCTAGCAGCACGGTGCTAAGCTTAAACCCTCTGCAGGCTGTTGCCAGCACCTCATCCTCATCCTTCCCACCCTCTGCCTCTAATTTAGTAACATCTAGCGAGGCTAGAGCCGCTCAGCCCCTCAGCAGGGCGCCCGTGCAGCCCGTTTTCCACCCCCCTCCTAACGTGTCCTTGCCTCCCCCTCCTCCTCTGCTCGCTTCTAACCCCGAGCCCGCGCTCCTGCACAACCTGCCGTCCCTCCCGGCCGGAGAAACATTCCTGCCCTCCTCCACCACCACCTCCTCCTCCTCCTCCTCCTCCTGCGCTGCCTCTGTCCAGTCTAACTCTTCTTTGTCTCTCAAACTCGCCTCCCTGCAGCACAAACCCTCCCGCCCCTCCTTCACCGTGCACCACCCGGCCGTGCCGCGCGCGGCGCTGGCCCCGCCGCCCACCGGTGCCGGCGCCATGTGGGTCACCCTGGGCGTGCAGCCCCCGCTGGCCTCGCACCTGCCGGGGGTTAAACCGCGCTAAGGGCGCCCGGCCTGAGCCGGCGGGGCTGGCTCTGCAAGGTAAGGCTGGCACAGAACCCCCGGGGGACACCCCAGGGTCAGGAGGGCTCGGTTTGGGCACAGAGAGAGTGGGAGGGGTGGGGGGGACAAACCTCTGAAATGGGGGAAGAACCCTCTGAAACAGGGGGGGAATACTTGAAAGCGGGACAAGGATGCTCTAAAACGGGGATATACTTGAAAGTGGGGCAAGGATGCTCTAAAATGGGGGAAAAATCCTCTGAAGTGGGGCAAGAATCCTCTAAAATGGGGAAATACTTGAAAGCGGGACAAGGATGCTCTAAAATGGGGGAAAAATCCTCTAAAGTGGGGCAAGAATGTTTTAAAACGGGGGGGAAATCTTCTGAAGTGAGGAAGGGATCTCTTAAAATGGGAGGAAGAGTCGTTAAAGGGAAAGGGTTCTCTAAAGAGGAGAAAACCTCGAAAACAGGAAGAATCCTGTGAAATGGGGTGAGAATCCTCTAAAATGGGGGAGAAAGTCCTCTAAAGTGGGGCAAGAATCCTCTAAAATGGGGGAAAATCCTCTAAAGTGGGGCAAGAATCCTCTAAAATGGGGGAAAAGTCCTTTAAAGTGGGGCAAGAAACCTCTAAAATGGGGTAAAAAATCCTCTAAAATGGGGGAAAATCCTCTAAAGTGGGGCAAGAATCCTCTAAAATGGGGGGAAAATCCTCTGAAATGAGGGAAGAATCCCCTAAAATGGGAAGAATAGATTTCTTCCCTATAAAAAGGGAAGAAACTGTAATGGGGAAAGGATTCTCTGAAGTGGGGAGAAAACCTCTAAAATGGGAAGAATCCTGTGAAATGGGGCAAGAATCCTCTAAAACTCGGGGAGAAACCTCTCAGGTGGGGAAAAATCCTCTAAAATGAGGGAAGAATCCCTTAAAATGGGAAGAAACTACTAAAAAGGGAAGAAACCTGTAAAGGGGAGAGAATCCTCTAAAATGGGGAGAAAACCTCTAAAATGGGAAGAATCCTCTAAAATGGGGAAGAAACATCTAAAATGGGGAAGAAACATCTAAAATGGGATAAGAAATCTCTAAAAGAGGAAGAAACTTCTAAAATTGAAAGGACCCTCTAGAATGGGGAGAAAACCCCTAAAATGGGAGTAGAATCCTCTAAAATGGGGAGAAAACTCACTAAAACAGGAAAAATTCTCAAAAATGGGGGGGATAATGCTCAAAAATGGGGGAAGAATGCTCAAAAATGGGGGAAGAATCCTCAAAATCGTGGCCCAAACCCCTGTGAAATGTGGGAAGGAGGTCCCCCGCTGGCAGAGGCCGCTCCGTGCTCGGGGAGTCAGGATTTCTCGACAAGGAGTGCTCACAGGGGGAGCTGCTCTGCCCCTTTTTAGGGTCGTGCTCAGGATTGTTGGGCAGTGTTCACTCCTGAGGGTCAGCAGGCAGGAGGAAATGTCTGTTTTTAGGGTGGTTTTAGGGAGTTTTAGGTGGGTTTTTTTTGTCCCACACTTGTCCGCTGGTGCCGCTTGGGGCCTGCCCGTGGTGGTCTTGGTTTTGCTGCCAGTCAACAGCAGCTGCTCTAAACAATCACCCAGCTCCAAATCTCTGGGTTTTGGGCTCTGGAGGGCAAATTCCCTGGGCTTGCAGGGCACCCCATGGATGAGAACTCAGGGAATGCTCAGGGTGCCCCATGCAGGGAGGAGCTGGAGGACAGGAGGGTTCCACAGGCTGTGTCCGTTCTTCCCCAAGCAGGTATTTGTCTGCAGGGCAGCTCCAGAATAAACTGTGCCACCCCAGGGTGGGGGGCTGTGGGTGCTGACAATACCTGGGCCATCCTGCTGTCACACAACTCCTTGCTTGCCAAGGGCCACCAGCCCTGGAGTTGGCTCCGTGCTTTCCTTGTAGGTCCGTGCTGTCGTTGTGTCCGTTGATCCCAAAGCTCCCAGCGTGGTTGAAAACACTTCTTTTTTTTTGCTGCTTATAAAAATTACAATATACCCGAGAGATTCTTTGTGCCTTGTGTTATAAAAGCGTTTTTCCTCACCAAATTGCTCCCCAGGCACCACAAAGCCTCCCCGGGTTGGGGGGGGTTTGTGAGGCACGTAAGTATTTCCCTCCGTCCTTCCCCACGGGCTTTGAGGAGCCTGTGTGTGGTGTGGGAGAGCCTGAGCAGAGACAGGATGGGGAAAAGTGAGGGTGGGGCTGGTGAGGAGGGTCAGGGTTGGGGTTCTGTGTGGTGGGAACCCCTGGATGTGAGGCCAGGGTGGTCCCGGTCACTCAAAATTCAGGATAACGGACAGGAAAATGGCTTATGGAGGAGAGGAGGGGGGTGACAAAACTGGATTGTGGAGCAGGGGAGCAGAACTGATGGGGCATGGCAGATTGGTGGTGATCCTGCTCCCTGTGACTCGAGCAGTTCCATTGGTTTGGGAGGGAATGTCTGTGTGGAGGGAATTATCTGTGTGGAGGGAATTAATTACCTGTGTGGAGGGAATTATCTGTGCCCAGACCTTGCTGAACCATCTGGCACTGGGGGCTCAAATAACCTGCTTTGCTTCTCTGCTCTGGAGCCAGGCTGGGAGAGCTGGGGGGGGTTCACCTGGAGGAGAGAAACTCCAGGGAGACCTGAGAGCCCCTTGCAGGGCCTAAAGGGGCTCCAGGAGAGGGACCTGGGACAAAGGATGGAGAGACAGGACACTCTGTGCCAGATGGCAGGGTGAGATGGGATATTGGGAAGGAATTCCTGGCTGGGAGGGTGGGCAGGCCCTGGCACAGGGTGCCCAGAGCAGCTGTGGCTGCCCCTGGATCCCTGGGAGTGTCCAAGGCCAGGTTGGGATAGTGGAAGGTGCCCAAAGCAGGGGGTTGAAACTGAGTGACCTTTAAGGTCCCTCCCAACCCAAACCAGCCTGGGATTCACAGGTTCTCCCTCGTGGTGTTAAAAAATCCAAAGCAGATTAAGGTGTGGTAGAAACAGTGAAGTGCTGGGGACGGGGGGGATCCTTTCTCCCTCACTCCAGGTCAGCCAGAGTTCATCACAGTTCCACTGTCAGCTCAAAAAGCTGCAGGTTGAGGGGCCCTGTGTCTCTTGGATCATCCATCCTTCCATCTAAGTGGGACTGGGCTGAGAGCTGCTCCGTCTCTGCTGGCTGAGGAGGCCTTGGAGCAGAGTAGAAATGCTTGACACATCTTAACACCCAGCAGGTTTTGGTCTTTTATTTAGATGAGTCTCTTCCTCTCCTCCTGTTGTGCAGGTAACTAGGATTTCTACCTCAACCCAATGTGACCTATGCAAGGACAACGTGGACCAACTTCACTCGGCTTCCACTGAAAGGTGCTCACCTGGCCTGTGCAGGGGTTTCTACTCTCTTACTACTGGACAAAATAAAAACCACACACACACACAAAAAAGACCTAAACAACAGAGCAAACATTTACTGTGAATCTGAGTTTAAAAAACAAAAAAAAAAAAAAAGAGGAAAAAAAAAAGGCAAAAAAAAAGAAAAAGGCAAAAGAAACGCTTAAAGCTCCAGTTTGTATTGTTGATAGTTTAGATAAAGTATTTATCTTTTTTTAAAGTGAAAAACAATTTTGACTTATTTTATTCCACCTAGACTCATGAATACAAGTTATTATTGGATTCTCTGAATACTAAAGGACTGGCACACCAGCAGAGACGTAAAGAGCCTCCTCGGTGCTATTTTGTCCGTCAGAAACTGTGCCTCTAGTCTGAACCCTTGGTGCTGATTTGGAGGGGTGACCAATGCCAAACCCAGTTCTTGGGAAGGCCTGCAGCTCGTTTATCCCCCTGACTGTTCATATCCCAAAATCCACCCGGCTGGCAGCAGAGTGGGCGGCAGAGGAGGGAATTCCCCTCCCTGGGGGGGTGATTTGGGCCGGGCCAGGCGCTGCCAGCCGGGTGGGTTTGAGTTGTGTGCGTGGCCAAGAGCTCCAGGGCATGGCTGGAACACGAGATTTCCAAGTGCTGCCCCTTTCAAACTCCCCCTCTGGGCCATTTGCTGGTGGCACTCGGGTCACTGTGAATTTTGGTAGCCGTGTCTGGTCGCTCCCCGTGGGGGTGTGAACAGGGCGTGTCATCACTGGTGTGGGTCCAGCCCTTTTCCCAGCCTCGGGAAGACTGAACCTCGTTGTTTCCTGTCCTGCTGCAGGTGGCAGATCCCCCCCTGGCTTGCTGGTTTTTGTTCCCAGTGTTTTGTTCCGGTAGGGTTTTGATACTTGACTCTGAGCTGGCTTAGCCCTGTGCATTTATTGACTAAGTGCATTTTTGCTGTGGTGTTCCTCTGCTTTCAGTAGGTCCTGAGTGGTAGTTCACAAAAACACCCCGCTCTGCCTGGCTGTGCCCGCCGGGGCACTGGGTTGTGTCGTGACTCGTGTACAGAAAGGGCCTCCAAAAGGCCGATTTTTATGGAGATGTGGGGAAAACTTCACCATTTTCCGGTATTTGGTTTTCGTTTTTAGGTTGTGCAATGCACGGTGAACTTGTGAAAAGTTATTTATTTGAGTGCACAAAGGGGAGGAAGAGGAGGAGTTCCAGGAGGAATCAGGCTGGGCTGATTCGAGCTGGGCCGAGCACCAAGAGAGGCAACCACAGATGGAACAGGGGAGCGACTGGAAAAACCACATTGAGGCTTTGGGAAACACCTCCCTGCTGGGCCTGGTGCTCTGAGGGGCAGCAGTGGCTGCTCTGTGTCCTTAAATCCCTCCTGGGGAGTGTCCCTCCTCCAGCAGCCAGGCTCTGGCTGTGAGCACCCCATGGAGCATCCCGGGATCACCAGCAGCTGGAAAACTCCTGCCCCTGGAGGAGCTGAGGTCCCTCTGCCCTCCTGGGCTCTCCTGCTGCCTGGAGCCAGGAGCAGGCTTGGGAATGCTGCGTTCCAAGGGCAACTTTAGGAGAGATTTAGGGCCAAGTGCAGTTGTGTTGATGGTTCCTGGGCAGCCTTTGTGAGCAAACTGGGGATCCGACTTCGCCTCCTCATTCCCTGGGAAGGGAAGGGAGTGACAGCCCTGGGAACTGGGGACATTGGGGAATGTTTTCTGCTCTGTGGGTGGGGCAGGACTGGGCAGTGGTGCTCCTGCTGAGGGACTGACAGCACGATGAAAGCCTGGGAAGGGCAGCAGAGCTCCGAGGGGGAGAGGGAGGAACATCCAGTAGCTTCTGGTGGAAGCCAAACACAGTGTCCTGGAATCCAGGAGGACAGTGTCACCCAGATGTTTTGCAGCTGGGAGCTGGGCAGCTCCAGCTTCTTTGCCAGCCCAGGGCAGGGTGCTGGGGCCTCTGGAGGCTTTAATGAGTGATTAGTGGAAGGGCAGAGACCTCAATTAGTGACACTCCCCCCATCCTTGGTACCTTCCGTGAGAGAAGAGCAAAGACAAGGAGAAGCTTTTCATCACCCTGTGGAACCCCCCCTGCTTTCCAGCACTGCTGGCACTCCTTGGATGCTGAGGATGGACAGATCCTTGTGGTGGGAATGGCCCTCCTTGTCCTGGCGTTCGCAGCGTTCCAGGAGCAGGGCAGGCACTGGTGGCTCTTCACAGCTGCACTCTGGGATCTCAGAGCTCTTTTCCAGCCTCAGTGATTCCATGATTCCATGACCCTGGGAGAGCAGTTTGCCCTCTGCTGTCCAGTGGGTGCTGCAGGAAGGGTTTCCCCTGTCCCCCGGTGTCCCCTGGGGCTGTGGATCAGCAGCTTCCCTGCTGGAATGGGCAGCACAGCCCCTGGATAACAGCACAGGGCTGTTACTGAGCCAGCCCCCCAGGGCCCTGAAGTTTGTGATCTCCAGAGTCATCCAGGGAGGCCCAAGGAAATCAGAGCTGCCCCAGGGATGTTGGGATGTGCTGGAAGGGGATCCAGTCTGGCTGAGCCTCAGCCCTCACTACCTCTGCACCTGCCACTGCTGCCACTGCAGTGCTGCTTCCATCCTGGCACCCCCCTGGAATCTGGAGCTGCTCTGGCTTCACCAGTGTCTTCCCCCACTCCTGGCACCTTCCCTGTGCCATGGACCCGGTCCTGATCCCTGGGATGTGCTCCCAGAGGGGGCCTGGGAACGTGGTGCCTGCCAGAGCAGAGCTGGGGGGGGAGCCAGGAGTGCAGGTTGGGATGTGTCAGTGCTGGGTGAGCTGGGAGATGATGTGGCCAAGAGATTCCTGGCTTTGTCTTCCCCTTCCCTGCTCTTCTCTGGCTTTGCAAGTTCCACTCAGCACCCTGGAATCCTGGGTTGGAAGTGACCCCCAGGGATCAGCAAACCCAAGCCCTGGCCAACTTGTTCCTCTGTCTGCAAACTGGGAAGAGCTTCGAGCTGGGATCTCATCCACGTGGCTCCAGGCCCACGACCCCCTGACCCCTCTGTCTGAGCACCCAGCCAGAGCCTGAGACCTGTTTGTGATAACTGAAGATACTTTGGAGTGATCAAAGCCAAAAAAAGAAAAAGAAAAAGAGAGAATTCCTTCTGTGTTCCCACATCCTGCCTGTGCTGGGCCCAGCCGTGGCTGTCACACAGGTCCCCTCTCCTCCACACCAGTCAGGAAGCTGAAATGCATCTTCTTGCCAAAAAAGAAAAAGGAAAAGAAAATGGAACTTCCTGAGTGTTGGGCTGAGGGAAACCTGTCCCTGCTGCTCAGTGTCAGCCTCCAGGAACAAGCTCTTTGGTTTTTTTGGGGATTTGCTTCCTCTGGCTCGCCAGGCCCAGTCCCCTGGGAGGGCTCCAGAGGCACCTGGGCTGGGGATTTGCTGCAGATCAGTCACTCTTGCACTGTCCAGGGGTGTGGAGGCACCCTGGGATGCTGAGGGGGAGAGTGGGGAAGCACTGCTGGAGGATGGAGAGCTTTGTGGTGCCGGAGCTGAGCTGGTGTGTGGGATAACGGGGATGTTGAGCTGTCCCACCATCACCTGGTGCTGCACAGGGGGCTGTTTCGTTTAGGAAAAGCATGGATCAGCCTGGACAGGCAGTGCTGGGAACACCTTCACCTCTCAGTGTGATGGATGCAGCGGGAGAGAGGAGAAGGGGGAGCAGCAGGGAGGGCAGCACATCCTCCCTGTACAGGACATTTGGGGCTGGGCATCACCTCCAGCTGGTTCCTCCCATCAGCAGGAACTCGTGTCTCCCTGAGCAGGCAGACCAGAAGGACTTTCTTGTGCTTCCATCTCGTTTCCTTCCTTCCTGGTGGTGACAGCACCTCATCTTTCAGGGCCTGCTTTGTGCTGCCCCTGCTCTGGGCTGGGGTTTGGGCTCAGCCTGGGGTGGGGAGCTGGATCCCCCCCTGCCAGGGGGGTGGAGGAGAGCTGGTAGGGTCTGACTCTGGGATCCCCAGTGGCTGAAGCCCCCCAGGCAGGAAGGTTGCATCACTTGGTCATCCCTTTTTGAACCCCCAGGACTTGCTGCTCCTCAGCCTGAAGCTCTCCCAGCTCTGGCTCAGGTGCTGAGTCTCTTCAGTCAGTCCTTGAGGAGGTGACCTGTGCAGTTGGGACCTGGCAGTACGAAGGTTTCCAGCTTGATCAGCTCTCCCATCACCTCTGGAAACATCTGCAACCCAGAGCTGCTGGGCCTGGGCAGGGCTGGCTGTGAGGGGGTGTCCCTGTTTCCTTCTGAGGGGCGTGCTGGGGACAGTTCTTCAACCTCCTCCTCTTGGGGTTGGACTGGATGACCTTTAGAGGTGTTTCCAGCCTGGCCTATCCTGTGATCTCTGTGATCCTTGTCTGGGATGGTCTCCTGGACTTGGAAGGTGGGTGGGAGGAGTTGTGAGCCAGCCCTGCCCCCCCGTTCCTGCAGAACCCCCCACACCACAGCGTGTGTTCCATCCCATCCCATCCCATCCCATCCCATCCCATCCCATCCCATCCCATCCCATCCCACCCCAGCCTTCCCTTGGAGGAGCCTGGATCTCCCTGCCCTGCTGGGCTGGCCCTGCCAGGAGAAGGTGGAATTTTCCTTTGCCGTGGAATAACGAGCCATGGACAGGTGGCATCCAGGCTGGTTTGGTTCCTGCTGGGATTGTGTCTTTGGAAAGCAGCATCTGCTCCCCCCTCCTGTTGTTTATCCACATGGAAGAGAGTCCAGGCAGAGGAGAAGCCGAGGGATTGTGTGACAGGAGAGTCCAGGATCAGGTGGGGGACACACTCTGAGGGCCAGCAAGTGCTTCCAGCTCCCCTGGGCCCACCCTTGGCACTGTGGGATCTGTGGGATCTGTGCCCTTGGGATGCTCCTGCTTCCCTGTCCTGCTGATGGCTGGAGGAGGACATTCCCAGTGCTGGGGGTTTGTTCTCAACCTGCTGCTGGTGATTCCCATCCTGGCCCTTCCTTCCCCTCCTGGCTGGGCCTGGAGCTGGTGCTGAGCCCTGGGCACAGGGGGCACTGTCCCCGTGGACCCAGTGGGTGCTGCTCGTGGAATTCCTCGGGATTGGGTGGTCTGTGCTGGTGCTGATGCCGGGGTGGCTTTGGTTGGGCACGTCCTGCAGGACCTGTTGACTTCTGGTGCTGAAATCCACCCTTCACCCCGGGGATTGTCCCCGTTATTGTCCCTTGGATGGCTCCACCTTGGAGTTCTCCCAACTCCCACGAGTGGCTGTGGGGGAAAACCTTGCTTTTCTTGTTGTTTTTGCCTGAGCCAGAAGCAGGGAGAGGAGTCAGGGTTGGGAGCTTCTGGTGTCTCTCTGGAGCAGGGGGGGATGTTGGACAAGGCTGTGACCCCTCAATGTTGGGAAATCATTCAGGGGAGCAGAAACCAGACAGTGTTTTTGTGAACTATCTCTGCAGCACTGAGGGAAAACTCCCAGGAATGGGGGTTTTGGGAGCACAGAACGAGGATTCCAAGTTTTACTGGTTTTAAAGAGGGTTTTTTTTCCTTCCTTTGTTGTTTTTTTTGTTTGTTTTTGTGCTCCATTTCCGTAGTTTGTGGATCAGGTTTTCACCAAAAGCTGCAGAACCAGTTTTCAAAATGTTGCTGTGCCATATTTTATTTATCCTTATGCATTATAAATATATAAATATCTATTTTAGACTGAATATTGCATTAAAAGATGCTGGTTTTGAGAACTTCAGGGTTTAAACCCAAGACAAAAAAAAAAAAACCCAACCCTGGGAGATATTTCTGCAGTACTTTTGCTGTTTGGGACCTTCCTGAAGAGGCTCCCAAGTTTTTCTTATGGTGTAAAGACAAAAACCACGCCCTGAAATAATTCCAGGTTGGAAGATGCTGACCCTGAAGTTCCCAGGTTTTCTCAAGGTACATCTCTGCTTGCTTTTCTGGTGCAGTCAAATGGTGGTTTTTGTTTTGTTTTGTTTTAAAGGTCTCGTCTCTGGAGTTATTGAGGAACAGGTGGAATGGGTTGGCCCATCCTGCTTGGCTTTTTTAACCTATTAATCTTTGAAGTGATGGATTTTTTTCCAATTAAAACCCAACTCTTTAGGTCTCTGTTCCACTCAAAGTTTTTAGGAGTGAGAGCCTGCCCTCGCTGAGTGGGACTTGGATGGGGAAAGCAGTAGAGGATGAGGTTGCTGTTGCTCAGGAATTGATTAGTAAACTTTTAACTACTAATAAAAAAATCCATTTTCCAGTGGATTTTTTTTGAAAAACCCATTTTCTTAGGACAGTGATATGGGATGTTTCCTAGTGAATAGGAATTAGTTTATATAATTTAGCCTATTAAACTGAATTATTTAAAATTCAAACTTCCCCTAATTTATCTTTTTCTTTAATTTTTTTGGTTGCTTTTTTTTTTTTAAAATTTTATTTTATTTTATACTGGTAAGTTGTCCTGTCATTCCTTTCATTCCTCCATAGAAATAGTGTGAATTCTGGTGTGTATATATGTATGTATAATATATATATTTCCACCCTGCCTTTCTAATTCTCCACAATGTAAGAGTTAGTTTTTGCTCCCCCCTCCCTCCACTTAATTTCTGGTGTCTCTCCCCTTGATTTGTAATTGAAACGATGCTTTGAAGTTTTGTCTTTATATTAAAGTGTCTGTATTTTAATACACCGAGAGCTTGTGGAGCTTCACTGGGTCACAGGGGCCTGGAATTGGGGCCAGTTATCCCAAGGGGAATGATTCACTGCAGGATTCTTAAACCAAGGACCAGCCCTGGGTTCCCTCAGCCCTTCCTAGCTCCTGGCTCTGCTGGGCCTGACCCAGCTCATCCCAAACAGGTTTGGCACCGGAGCTGCCCCCTGGCTCCACCACCAACCATCAGCTGACCTTTAGGGGTCCCTTCCAACCCAAACTGTTCCAGGGAGAATCCTCTCCAAATCCCACCGTGGAGCCATCACCCCCAGCTGGCTCCTGGGGAGGCACCTTCCCCCCATCCCTGCTCCTGCTCCAGGGGGAGGAGCCCACCTGGAGAGCCCCTGGAGCTGCTGGTGCTCAGGTGAGAGCCCTGCAACCACCCCTCCCTTCTCAGAACAGCTCTGAGCCCCACACAGATTAAAACAGGATTTATTGGCAATGCACAACAGAGAAAGGGCTCTGGGGGAGCCTGGACCCAGCTCTGACTGAAATACAAAACTCAGAGTGTGAAAAAAATGAACAATTGTCTATAAATCACCAGCAGCTGATGCGGATTTTGAAGCGTCTACAAGTTCCCATCTCCCCTCAGTGCTGAACCCCACCCCCTGTCCCAGCCCTGCTCCGGAGTGGATCTGAGCTCCTGGAACTCTTCATTCACAGCATTTGTTTTACATTCATTAAGAAATGTCACTGGTGCCTCCTGGACGAGGGCTGGGGTTTGCTCTCGTGGCCCAGAACAGCAACCAAAATGCCCTTTTTGTGCAGGGTGACAGCGGGGAAGGTGCCCAGGTGTGGCAGGGGGGTCCTGCTCCGGCACCAGGACACGGGACTGTGTGCAGGGAATGCTCCAAGCCCGGCAGAATTCCCGAGGTTTGGATCAAACTACACCTGGAAGGATCCAGCAGTGCCGAGCTGAGCCTGGATGGGGCTGTCCTGCCCCTGGAGCTGCAGGGCAGGGGCTGTGGGATGGAGCTGTGGGGGAGCCCATGCTCTCATCCCAGCTCATTATCCCACTGCCAACCTGGAATCTGCCTTTCCATCCTCCCCCCAGTGACCAGACCAGTCTCTTTTCACAGTAAAAGCTGCCCTGTCCCCTCTCCAGGTCAGGGGTGCCCCTGCCCTGAGGGAAAGCAGAGCTGGTGAGGATTAAAATGCACTTCAAAGCCATCTGAGGACACCAATTCCCTCCAGCAGAAGCTCCTGTGGGTTCCTGCCTTTAATCCCTCCTTGCTGCTCCCCCTGGAGCTGCCATCTGCCTGCACATTCCCCCTGGATCCCACTCCCTGTCCTGGCTCCTCCTGCAGGGCAGCTGCCCCCAGCTCATTTCGGTGAGGTTTTGGAGCACTTGGAATGATTCAAGGGAAAGGGAGGATCTGGGGCAGGGAAAAGGGAAAAACCTTGGCTTTGAGATTGAAAAGAAAGCCTGGGTGACAGCTGTCACTGTGCTGGCACCCAGCAGGGAGGGGCAAAGAGGGAAGGCCAGGCCACTAAAGCTCTTCCTTCGGGCATTTATTCCCAGCCAAGGAGGGAAGAGACCCAAAACTTCCCTTCAAGCCCAGCTCAGAGGCTGCTCCACCCACCCTGGAGGGGAACAGCACCCAGAGCTGCAGCCCCCAAAGCTCGGGCCCCCACCCTGTTCCTTCTGCCACCAACCCTGGCTGTGTCACCTGGGACCCTCCAGGGGCTTTTCCTGGGGCTTTTCCCGGGCTGCTTCCAGGGGAGCTGCTGTGGCAGTGAGGAATGGGGGTGTCCTGCAGCCCTGGGTGTGGGGAATGTCCTCCCTCCCTCCTTTCCTCCCTCATCTCTGGGCAGTTTTCCTTCCTGCAGCCACGGCTGGTGGGGTGGGGATGTTGTTCCTTAACCCTTCCAGGAGCCCCAGGGAGGCAGCCCTGGTTCCCTGGATCCCTGACAGCCCTGGTTCCCTGGATCCCTGGCAGCCCTGGATCCCTGGCAGCCCTGGATCCCTGGCAGCCCTGGATCCCTGGCAGTGACCCTGGCACAGTTTTTGGTCTGCCCCTTTGGATATTCCCAAAGGAGGGGAGAAGCTGCAGCCGTGGCTCAGGGGCTGGAGGGTTAATGCCCATCTGAACTCACACCCTGCAGCCCGAACCTCCAGCCAGAGGGAGCAGCTCCTGCCTTTGCCAACCTCTCCATCTGCCTCTCCTCCCTGGGAAGCTGGATCAGAGCTCAGTCCACAGCTCTGCAGAGGGGCAGGAGCCCCCAGGGATCCCTCCCTGTCTCTGTTCCCGACTGTTCCCTTTGTCCCCTCAGATGGGCTGCACTGTGGGGACCCCTCCAGCCCCCAGGAATCACAACACCTGCCCAGGGAAGGGGAAGGGAAACCCCCAAGGGCAAGAGCCAGAGGCTGAGCATTCCCAGTGTCATTGGGAGCATTCCCAGTGTCAGTGGGAGCATTCCCAGTGTGACTGGGAGCATTCCCAGCCCTCCCTGCTCACCGGCTCAGCCATCAGCCTGATGGCCCAGCACCAGGACAGCAGGGGGTTAACCCTGGAGCACAGATGTGATCACAGCACCCTCTCCCAGCCCCAAGGGCTCCTTGGAGATTGAGGGGAGATCCTGAGGCAGGAAAGCCGAGCAGCTCCTTCAGGAGAGGGACAGGGAGGAGGAGGAGGAGAAGGGCTGGAGCTCCAGCAGCCCCAGGCCCTGGAGGACAGCAGGTGCTGGGAGCTCTGGCAGCCCCTGCCTCTGCTCATCCCAGGGGGTTCTGCTCCCACCACAAGGGAGCCTCCACAGCTGGGGAAGAGGGAATGTACAAGGAATTCCCTTTTTTTAAAAAAAAAAAAAAAAAAAAGGAATAAAAACCGATTTGGGTAATAAATAAAAGAGTCCCTTGGTCACTGTGGGGCTCTGCTGTCCTTCCCAGGGGTTGGGGTGGCCCTGGGGAGCCTGCTCAGGACTCAGGAGCCAGCTCAGCCCAGGTGAGGGAATTCCTGCTGGTGTGTTCCCAGCTGGAAACGGGCTTCCTCCGAGATCCCATACTGCTCCAGGGGGTCCTGCAGGAGAGCACAGCGAGGCACCAGTGAGGGGGGCAGGAAGGGGAGGACCCAGGACACAGCAGGTGAGCAGGGGCTGTGGGCACAGGGGCTCAGAGCCACCCCTGCCCCTGGGGATGCTCTGAGGGGCCTGGCAGGGTGAGAGCAGCATCTGCACCCACAGATCTGGCCAGGGCTGGTGCTGAACTCCTCCAGAGACCTGCTGGGAGCCCAGCCAGGCCTGTCCAGCTCCAATCCTTGGCCCACTCCAGCACGGATGTGTGTATCCCAGGGTCAGAGTGAGCACAGGAGGGTGCTCTGGTGTGCCTGTGGAGCCCACGGCTCCCTATGGAATCTGGGATCTCCCTCCAGATCAAACAGCCTGTGCAGGACCAATCCCCAGCTCCTGCCCACACCCATCAGTCACCACCTGACCCCGAGGGCCTCACTCACCTTCCCTGTCATCTTCTGGATCTCATTCCGGTAGAAAATCAAGCTCCTCCTCAGGAATTCGTAGCTGCAAGACAGGACCAGACCCTGCTGAGCACAGGAGGACGTGGGCAAGTTGCAGATGCCATTTAGGGCTGGGGGAGGGGGGAGCTGGTTTGGGAGGAGACAACCCCTGTGCTCCCGGGTTCCCCCCAGGCTGATCCCAGAGCTCCCTCCCACGGCTCTTCCCACCTGGCTCGTTTGAGGGCCTCGACCCACTCCTGACACTGCTCCTCACTGGCACACTCGAAGCAGTATTTCCTCTCTGGCTCCTCGATGAAACCTGCCAGGAACAAGGAAAGGGCTCAGGGCAGGTCCTGGCAGAGCTGCCCATGCTCCCCTGCCAGGCCACAATCCCGGCCTTGGCCCCTCTCCTGTCCCCTCCCTGCTCTGGGTGCCCTGGACCAGCTGCCCAGGCCATTTGTCAGCTTCCAGCAGCCAAAGACCTTGGGAAGAGCAACTTCCCAACGTGAGAGCAACTGAACTGGACCAGACCTGGGCCTGGAACTCCCTGAAGGCTCCTGGGGAAGCCTCCAGGGATTCAAATCGAAGGGAAAGCCAGCCCTGAGGAAGGGCCTGGGATGCAGGCACAGAGCAGCCACTAAGGAGTGGAACTGCACTGGGAGAGGGCCCCGAGCTGCCCTGGCTGGAGGCTTTTGGGAATGCAGTGCCGTGCAAATCCCAGCGCAGCTCCGGCTCCACATGGGACAGAACTGGGGATGTCAGAGATTCCTGAGCCCAGAGCTCTGCTCTGCACAGACCCCTGGGGGGGCTGAGCTGCTGCTGCCAAGTGAGTGGGTCAGGCTGCACCAAGTGTGGCACAGCCCCAGCCCCACAGCAGCCCACACTTCCCTCAGGAATCCTCACACAGCCCCAGACCCCGAAACCCGGCGAGCCTGGAGCGCTGGGGCCGTTTTGGAGGGCCCTTTGGAGGCAGGGACAGCAGCAGGGAGGAGACACAGCTGTGCCCCTGCAGCCAGGCCAAAAGATACAGGGATGGCCTTGGAGGAACATCCTGTTGTTGTCAGCACGTGTGGGATGAAAGGCTCTCCCGGGGGACACGGATCCAGCTGGAGCCGCGGTATCGCCACAAGGACACGGAGCACGGCGGGAGGAGGGGCTGGTTCAGCCCCACCGAGGCTTTATCTGAGCCCGCTGAGAGGGGGGGGTGGATAAAATGCAGCAGCACAGCAGAGATCTGTCAATAAACCCCCCCCAGGAGGGATTTCTGGCTGCTCTGCACGTGCAGCTGAGCAAACCCCACACCCTGGAGTGGCCCCGTGCTCGGGATGGGACGTGGCACAGGCAGGAAGAGCTGGCAGCTGAGGGACAGAGCCGTGGAATTGTTGAGGCTGGGAAAGATCTTTAGGATTGTCAAGCCCAACCATCAGCTCAGCACCACCACCACAGTCACCAGTAAACCCTGTCCTCAAGTGCCACATCCACACGGTTTTTTTGGGTATTTCCAGGGATGGTGGATCCACCACTGCCCTGGGCAGCCTGAACACCCTTCCCATGAAGAAACTGTCCCTGATGTTCAACCTAAACCTCCCCTGGCACAACCTGAGGCTGTTCCCTCTCGTCCTGTCCCTTGTTCCCTGGGAGGAGAGACCAAAAATCCTCTGAGGAGCACTGACCCAGCCAGGAGGGGCAGGGCTGGGCTGACCCCACTGTCACCAGAGCAGCAGGAACTGAGCAGCAAAACATCTCCTTTCACTCTGCCCCCGGGGGGAAAGGCCCAGGGACGATGCCCAGGCAGCACTCACTGATGGAGAAGACGTTCTCCTCCTCCTTGGTGATCCTGCAGTGCTCCAGCAGCAGAGCTCCAATGGGCTGGAAAACACACGGAGAGAGGGGTTTAACCCACAGTGCCCCCAGCACCGAACCCACAGCGCTTCCCTGGAGCCTTTCATGCAAGTCTGACACCCCGGTGCTCCTCTGCAATAATTCACTCTCACCGCGGGGTTCCACCCCTCTTTAATCACCTTTCTGTGCCTCCAGTGCCAGTCTGACCTGCAGCACTCCGCGGATGTTAATGAGGTGTTAATCACTCTGCCCCCGGCCTTCACTGTGGCCTGAAGACAGCACAGAACTGCTGCTTCCCTGGAATATTCCCTGGGAGACACAAAACAAGCCCTGCTGTGTCGGGGCTGTCCCTGCCTGGCAGCGGGAGAGTGTGGGGAGCTGGAACAGCTCCAGGGACACTCAGACACCAGGAACTACCTCAGCCCTGAGCAAGGGGACACGGCCTGGAGCGAGAGCAACCCACTGGGAGAGACCCCAATCAGGCAGCGGGGAAGGGCCTGAAATCCTCCTTTGCTGCGCATTCCATGGAATGTTTGGGCTGGAAGGACCTCAAAGCCCATCCAGGGCCACCCTGCCACAGGCAGGGACAGCTCCCACCATCCCGGGGTGCTCCTCTGATCCCCTGGGCACTTCCAGGGATGGGGCAGCCACAGCTGCTCTGGGAATTCCATCCCAGCTCCTCCCCGCCCTCAGAGCCAGGAATTCCTGCCCGATATCCCATCCAAGCTGCCCTGTGGCACTGGGAAGCCATTCCCTGTGTCCTGTGCCCATCCCTCTCCTGCTGTCCTGGAGCCCTGCTGTGCCCAGGAAAAGGGGACAGAGCTTTCCCAGTCCCCACAATCAATCCACGGGGAAAAAGAAGGAAGAGGGAGGGAATCAAAGCCCACCCAGGAGCACATTCCACACCTCGGCCTCGTCTGTCCTGAAGTAGAAGAGAAAATTCACCACGAGCTTCACCAGGCGCTTCTTCAGCACTGCAAGGGCGGTTCCATTAACATAAAATAAAAATAAAATAAATAGAAATAGAAATATTTAGAATAGAAATATAAAAAAATAGAAATAAAAGTAAAATGAAACAAAAATAGAAATGAAAGTAAAATGAAATAAAAATAGAAATAAAAGTAAAATGAAACTAAAATAAGTATAAAACAAAAAATGGGAAATAGAAATAAAAGTAAAATGAAAACAAAGATTAAAATAAAAAATTTTAAAATTAAAAAATGAAAACAAAGATTAAAATAAAAAAATTTAAAAATAAAAATTAAAAAATGAAAACAAAGATTAAAATAAAAACAAATAAAATAAAAATGAAAACAAAGATTAAAATAGAAACAAATAAAAATAAAATAAAAAATAAAGACAGATATTAAAATGAAAAGAAATAAAAATAAAAATAAAATGAAAAGTTAAAATAAAGATAAAAATAAAGCCAAAATACAAATAACATAGGAAATAAAATAAAGTTAAAATTAAAATAAAGATAAAAATAAAAATAATACCAAAATAAAAAAAATAAAATAGAAAGTTAGAATGAAATAAAAAAATAAAATAAAAACAAATATTATAAATAAAAAGCAAATATTATAAATAAAAATAGAAATAAAAATAAAAACAGAAATAAAAATAAAATTAAATTAAAATTATATAAAAAATAAAAATGAAAATAAAATAAAAATATAAAATAAAAATAATGAGAAAGGAAGCGCTGAGGCAGCTGGGACAGGGAGGGGGACAGAGGGAAGCTGCTCCTCCAAAAAGCAGCCTCGGGGTGACAAAGCCATGAGCAGCTTCTCCAGTGGCTCCGGGGCAGGCAGAGCCCACTGACCCGGCCTGGGAGAGCTCCAAGAACCTCCCCCCAGTCCCACCCTGGATCCCACACCTGTGCTCCCCAGTCCGACCCCCCAGCCCTCCCAGTAAGCCCCAGTGCTGCCCACCCAGTACAGCCAGTCCTGACCCCCCAGTTCCTGCCCAGTTCTCCCAGACCTTCACCCCTTTCCCAGCCTGGATTCTCCAGCACCCCCAGTTTCCCCAGTCCCTCCTCGCCCAGTACTCCGAGTGCTGTCCTGATTATCCAGTACCTCCAGTCCTGCACCCCCAGGGCACCCAGTTCTCCCAGTGCCCCTCCTCCAGTCCAGCCCTGTCCCCCACAGCTCCAGCTGGGGAACCCCCAGTACCCCCAGTCCTGCCAGTTCTCCCAGTCCTGATTCCCCAGTATCCCCACTCCTGCCCCTCCAGGACTCCCAGTTCTCCCAGTACCCATCCACCCAGTGCTCCCAGTCCTTCCCATGTCCTACCCCCAGTTTCCCAGCCCTAATTCCCCAGTCTCCCCAGTGCTGCCCATACAACACTGCCAGTCCTACCCCTCTCCCCACCCAGTGCTCCCCAGTCCTCCCAGTCCGTTCCCAGTCCTGTCCACCCAACACAGCCAGTCCCATCCCCTCTCCCAGCTCTCCCAGTCCTGCCCTGCCCATATCCCCACCTTCCCAGTCACAATTCCCCAGTCCTGCCCACCCAACGCCGGTAATCCTAACTCCCCCTCCCAGTACTCCCAGCACTCCCAGTCCCGCCCTGATCCCACTCCCAGCACTCCCAGTCCATTCCCAACACAGCCACTCCTATCCCCCCCCTTCCCATCCCAGTTCTCCCAGTCCATTCCCAACATAGCCAGTCCTATCCCCCCTTCCCAGTACTCCCAGTTCTCCCAGTCCATTCCCAACACAGCCAGTCCTATCCCCCCTTCCCAGTACTCCCAGTTCTCCCAGTCCATTCCCAACACAGCCAGTCCTATCCCCCACTTCCCATCCCAGTTCTCCCAGTCCCGCCCTGCTCCAGCCCGGATCCCCCGGCATCCACGGCACCGCCCCGTTCTCCCGGTGCCTCTCCCGGCTGGGATCGATTCCCGGCTGGAATGGCCCGTCCCCGCTCACCGCTGCCTTTCTTGGGCACGCTCATGCGGATCTCGGCCGCCTTCTCCGCGGGCTGCCGGGCCAGCGACAGCAGCTCGCGCTCGTTGTAGCGCATGGCCGGAGCCCCCCGCTCCCGGTGCTGCTCCCGGTGTTGTTATTCCCGGTGTTATTCCCGGTGTTATTCCCGGTGTTATTCCCGGAGTTGTTCCCGGAAGGGCCCGGGCGGTGCCCGGGAAGGGCTCGCGCGCTCCCAGAAGCGCTCGCGGCGGGCACGCGCAGGCGCGCGGGGAGCGTGAGGGGAGGAGCGGGGGGGAAGGAGGAGGAGGAGGAGGAGGGAGAAGGAAAAGAGCCGCGCGATAGCTGGGACGGACCGGGGTTTGTGAGGGGAACGGGGGGGATTGGGAGGGTCTTGAGTGGATCTGGGGGTCTTGAGTGAATCGGGGGGGTCCTGAGGGGATCCGAGGGGTCTTGAGTGGTTCCCGGGGGTCATGAGTGAATCAGGGGGTCCTGAGGGGATCCGGGGCGATCCTGAGTGGGTCAGGGGGGTCGTGAGGAGATCTGGAGTTCATGAGGGGATCCTGAGGGATCTGGTGGGTCTTGAGTGGATCAGAGGGGTCGTGAGGGGATCCTGAGGGGATCCGGGGGGTCTTGAGTGGATCAGGGGGCTTCTGAGTGGATCCGGGCGGTCCTGAGGGGATCCGGGCGTTGTGAGGGGATCCAGGGGGATCCTGAGTGGATCAGGGGGGTCTTGAGTGGATCCGGGAGGTCCTGAGGGGATCACGGGGGGTCCTGAGGGGATCCGGGGGTCTTGAGGGGATTCGGGGGGTCCTGAGGGGATCCAGGGGTCTAGAGTGGATCGGGGGTCCTGAGGGGATGCTGAGGGGATCCGGGGGGTCTTGAGGGGATCCGGGGGGTCCTGAGACGACTTGGAGGATCCTGAGGGGATTAAGGGGGGTTATGAGGGGTTTTAGAGGAGCCTGGAGGGTCTTCGGGGCATTTGGGGGAACTGAGGGGATTTTAGGGGTCCTCAGTGGATCTGAGGGGTCCTGAGGGGATTTAGGGGGTTCTGAGGGGATCTTACGAGGTTTGGCAGGTCCTGAGGGGACTTGGGGGATTCTGAGGGGATTTAGGGCATCGTGAGGGGATTTAGTGAGTCCTGAGGGGACATGGGGGGGCTTTCTGAGAGGATCTGGGGAGTTCTAGGGGTTGTGAAGGTATTTGGGGCATTCTGAGGCGACCTGGGGGGTTCTGAGGGGATTTGGGAGGTCCTGAGGGGACATGAGGGGATTTGGGGCGTTTTGAGGGGCCCTGGGGAGTTCTGAGGGGATCCAGGGGGTTGTGAGATGATGTGGAGTGTCCTGAGGAGACCTGGGGGGGGGTCCTGATGGGATCCGGGGCATCCTGAGGGGATTTAGGGGGTTGTGAGGGGATCTGGAAGGTCCTGAGGGGATGTTTGGGGAGGGAGGGTGACCCTTGGTGAGGTGTTGGGGTGTGTTTGAGGGGTGGTTTTGATCCTTACTGGGGGTGCTTGAGGGGGCTTGTTCCTCGCTGAGGAGTTGGTGGGTATCTGAGGGGGGCTTTGACCCTTGCTGAGGCATTGGGGGGCTTATTTGAGGGTGCCTTTAACACTTGCAGAGCTGTTGGGGGACACGTTTATGGGGTTGACCCTTTCTGGGAATGTTTGGGGTCCTCAATCCTCACTGAGGGCCTGGGAGTGTTTTGGGGGGAGATTTTCACTGTTTCTGGTGGGCTGTGGTGTGTTTTTGGGGGGCTCTCAGCCTTTCTGGGACCCAGTCTGGGCTTGGGGGATATGTCTGTGTGTGGAAGTGTCTGAGGAGATGGAAAGGGCTCTGGGGGTTGTTCTTCTGCATCATTTTACTTGTGCTTACTGAGTGGGTGGTGCCAGACCCGCTCCACGTGGAATCTCATCCCTTGCCGTGTTCCCAGGGCGTTTTTGGGGTTCCCATCCCGTGTCCTCACTGCTGGGGCTGAACACTCTGTGACCTCAGGCCCACCCACCACTCACGTTGCTTCTCCTGCTTTCCTCCAGACTCTTCCCTTTCTCCAGAGGGGGCTGAAGGACAGAATTCCCCACCATGGATTTCCAGCACCGCCCTGGAGGGAAGACGGGCAGCGGAGGCGTCGCCTCGGCCTCGGAGAGTAACCGGGACCGGCGGGAGCGGCTGCGGCAGCTGGCCCTGGAGACCATCGACATCAACAAGGTGGGGACACCCCTCCCACTGCGCCAGCCTGGCCTTGGACACTCCCAGGGATCCAGGGGCAGCCACAGCTGCTCTGGGCAACCTGTGCCAGGGCCTCATCACCCTTACAGGGAAGGATTCCCTCCCAGTATCCCACTATCCCTGCCCTCTGGCAGTGGGAAGCCATTCTCCTTGTCCTGTCGCTCCAGGTCCTTGTCCCCAGTCCTTCTCCAGCTCTTCTGGATCCTCTTTAGGCCCTGGAAGGAGCTCCCAGGTCTCCCCAGAGCCTTCTCTTCTCCAGGCTGAGTGGTGGATTGTGTTTAAATACTTGTGTCTCTGGGAATGTTGGGTTTGAATGAGGAACATTCAGGATGGGGCTGACAGGGAGGTGCCAGCACTTTGTATTGAAGTTATTTCCAGTCTCCTCAGGACTGGTTTGTACTTTGCCATTTCTTGGTGCAATTGGGAACTCTGTCACCGATGCTCAGAGCTGCTGTTGAGTCTCTTTGTTTCTGTCTTCCTAAAGCTCCGTTGTGCTGTTGATTTAAATTCTGAACTCAGCTGTAGAATCATAGAACCATAAAATACCCACAGCTGGAAGGGACCCACAAGGACCATCCAGTTCAACTCCTGGCCCTGCCCAGAACACCCCAACAATCCCCCCCTGTCCCTCAGAGCGTTGTCCCAACTGCTCCTGGAGCTCTGGCAGCCTTGGGGCCGTGCCCACTGCCCTGGGGAGCCTGGGCAGTGCCTGACCAGTTCTTCCTGTGCAGGAGAGCTCTGCAGTATTTTGGTTATCCTGTTGCTTTGCCGTGGATTTTCCTTGTAACGTGTCCATCATTCTCTTCCCAGGACCCCTATTTTATGAAAAATCACTTGGGCTCCTACGAGTGCAAGCTCTGCCTGACACTGCACAACAACGAGGTGAGGAGAGCAGCTGCCTGGGCTGATCCCAGCAGCAGGAATTTTGGGGTAACAGTAGCTTCAGGTGCCAGAACCTGGGCTGTGAGGGTGAAAACACCCTCAGGGTGAGTGTCAGTGTGAGACACAGCCCCACTGTGACACGAATCTTCCAGTCCTGCCTTCATTTAACTTTCTTCTACCTTGGTTTTTATTTCAGGGGAGTTACTTAGCACATACCCAGGGGAAGAAGCATCAGACCAATTTGTAAGTCATTCTCTACCACAACTTTATTCATTACTGAGGCACTTTAAAATGATGATTGTGTTCATCTATAAACCTTTAACTCCATTAAAATGATGATTGTGGACAATGCTCTGAGGGACAGGGTAGGATTGTTGGGCTCCCTGTGCAGGGCCAGGAGTTGGACTGGATGATCCCTGTGAGTCCCTTCTCCCACTCAGGATGTTCCAGGATTCTGTGATCTGGATTTGTCAGTACAGGTTGGGAGAAGTTTATCAGTTTTATTTTAAGGAATCCAGTTTACTTTGCTTTAGCTGTGGGGTTTTTTTCCTTTTTAATGTCAAGAATTAAATCTTCTCAAATGCATTTGTGGAGTCAGGCACCAAGGCCATCTCAGGGGTGGATAACTGAGTGACAGCCTTCGGTGAGGGGAAAGATGGATACCCTGGGGAAGGATGGATACCCTGGGGAAGGGAAGTAGGTTTTCCAGGCGTGATTCCTTTGGAAACAAGTGCAGGTGGTAACCCTTACACTTTGAAATTCCTCCCCAGGGCCCGGCGAGCTGCCAAGGAAGCCAAGGAAGCCCCTGCCCAACCTGCCCCAGAGAAGGTCAAAGTGGAAGTGAAGAAGTTTGTGAAAATTGGGCGCCCAGGTTACAAAGGTGGGTGGGGGGTGCCCGGTGGGTGCCTGTGGGCAGCGCCTGCAGTGCTGGGATGTGAACTATTAATTAGCCCGTTTAGCAGCTCTGCCCATGAATAAGAACTGGGCTCTCTCCTGGTGTCCTTCATGGTTTGAATTGCCTGTATCCCACCTAAACTTCCCCTGGCACAACCAGAGGCTGTTCCCTCTCCTCCTGTCCCTGTTCCCTGGGAGCAGAACCTGAACCCCCCAGCTCCCCCCTCCTGTCAGGGATTGCAGAGCCAGAAGGTCCCCCCTGAGCCTCCTTTTCTCCAGGCTGAGCCCCCCCCAGCTCCCTCAGCCCCTCCTGCTGCTCCAGCCCCTTCCCAGCTCCCTTCCCTTCCCTGGACACCTAAAGCCCCTCAATGTCCTTTTTGTCATGAGTGGCCCAGGACTGGACACAGTAATATCACAGAATCCCAGAACAGTTTGGGTGTGCAAGGCACCTTAAAGCCCATCCTGTCCCACCCCCTGCCATGGGCAGGGACACCTCCCACCAGCCCAGGGTGCTCCAACCTGGCCTTGGACACTTCCAGGGATTCAGGGGCAGCCACAGCTTCTCTGCCCAACCTGTGCCAGGGCCTTATCACCCTCCCAGCCATAGCTTTGGTTAAAGACAATGTGACATTTTGTTTGATAAATGGGAGAAAAATCTTGTAATATTTAGTTGTTGGAAGCTTTATGTGTTTCCTGGGGCAGAATAATGCTGGGGGATGTTCTCATCTTCTCTATTTTCCTTACAGTGACCAAACAGAGGGACCCCGAAACAGGCCAGCAGAGCCTTCTCTTCCAGGTAAGGGCAGGGTGAAAATTCTCGCTGTCAGGGTTATCCAAGTGAAACTGCTGCTAAGTGAGCAGATCCTTGCTGGACCCATGAAAGAAATAATAATAAAAAAAGGCCCTACTTTCCTGGTTTTTACAGCTGACTGTGTAGAGCAGATCCCTGAGCAAAGCTGTCAAGCTGTGTAGTGGAAGGGGCAGGAGTTGGAACGAGATGATCACAGAGTCATGGAATGGTTTGGGTTGGAAGGGGCTTTAAAGATCATCCAGTTTCGACCCTTGCCATGGGCAGGAACACCTTCCACTAGCCCAGGTTACTCCTGGTCCAACCTGGCCTTGGACACTTCCATGGATGGGGAAGTGTGCCCAGCCTGTGCCAAGGCCTCACAGGGAACAATTTCCCCTTCATTTCCCCTCT